CATTCTGGAAACTCAGAGTGCAGGACTGACTGGTGGCAAAAGCCGGCAAGAGGGTCCCACAGCCTGCGTCTGACCGGATTGGCTGTCCTGACACGCTCCGAGCTGGGCTGGGGGAGGCAGAGAGGGGGACAGCCCGGCTGTGAGGGAGGACTGCTCTACGGTCACACGGCCCCCATGTTTTTGGTCTGCTTCCTTCCTCCAAAGTTTGAGGCCCTCGGTCTCCTGTGGTGTGAAGTCTTGGGCATGCAGAATGGCGCACCTCATTGGCAGGCCCGTCCCTGGGAGTTAGGTTGTAGTTCTCCTCGCTGACTCATCCCCCGTCTTGGTCTGCCTTCCATCCTTCCCCAGATGTGCCTACATCCTGCATCTGCTGCCGTGTCCTCTCTTGTTCTCTCGATCCTGTGGGTTTGTACCTTCTTTCCTCCTATTCCTATGGCGGGTTTTGGAAGGAAGTAGGGATAAATGAAAGTTAAAAATTTTCTAACTGGAGTTCCTAACTGTCTTTTGATTTAAAAAAACAACCCACTAGATATCAGAGAATCAGGTGTGCTAACTTCCCTGTATCGCCCACAGTAAAGAAGCTTATTGTGCACCAACTCTGTAGGAGGCAACACACGACACATTTTTGTTTTCTTTCTTTAAGGTAAATACAAATGGGGGGAATGAAAATCATTTAAAAGTCAATAGTGAAAAATATACTTTTCACTCCAATCCCCAGTCCAACAATTCTCCCCCCGCCCCAGATACAATCGCTGTTGCCAGTTTCTTAGGTTTACTGTCCCTTTCCTCACATTTCTGAGATCACAGTATGTATAATCTGTCCTCCTAACAGTATAGCTTCATGTGGTAACTCGTGCTTTTTCAGAAGTGCATAGTAATCCATGATATACAATGTCTGCCCAGAAAAAGTCAAGCCATTGTTAATATAATAAGAATGGCTTGTGTGACATCACTGTAACCTGGGAGCCAAGGACAGTGGACTGGAATGCACATGTGTGAACAATGACGACTTCACTGTACTAGTCAGTGGGGGTGGTAGATGCCTTTGAGGGAGCATGTGTACTGTGTGGCCATCACATTCAAAATGACTGAGCGAGTAGAGCAAGGAAACTGCATCAGATTTTGCGTTGGGCTTGAACCTTTCTCCACAGAAACTATTCAGATGATTCAGAAGGCCACAGCTATGGGCAACTGGTGATTGGCAGCTTCATCACAACAACGTACCTACTCATGCATCATGTTTTGTGCAGAATTTTTGGGGTAAACGTCAAATCACCCAGGTGACTGAGCACCCCAATAGCCCAGATGTGGCACCCTGTGACTTATGGCTTTTCCCAAAACTAAAATCACCTTTGAAAGGGAAGAGATTTCAGACCATCGATAGACTTACGTAAATACAACAGGGCAGCTGATGGCAACTGGGGGAACTGTGTGAGGTCCCAAGGTGTCTACTTTGAAGGGGACTGAGGTGTCCTTGTTTTGTGTGCAATGTTTTTTGTATCTTCTTCAATAAATATCTCCGTGTTTCATAGTAAATGGCCGGACCATATTTCATTTATGTACATTCATGCCCATTAGCAGGCAACCAATTTATTTCATTGGTTGCCTACTCATGGGTAATTAAACAATTTCTAGCTTTTTGCTACAAGACAATGCAGCAGGGAATATCTACCGACCCATTTTTCTATTAGAAGTAGGTCTACCTTTGTGCACGCATGCATAAAATAAAGTCTAGAAGTGGAATTGCTGAGGCAAAGGCTCCGTGTGTTTGTATTTCACAGGCGGCCGCAGCCGATTGCCGGTCAGGCGGTTGTACCAATTTTCACTCTCAGTGACCACGAGGGAGAGTTTCAGATTCCCAAACCCTCTGCATTACCACCGATGCATGTTTTTGTAGTTTTCACGTCTATTTGTAAAAACTCTAATTTCAGTGGAGTTTTTATGTGTGTTTTTGGTTGTAAGTGAGGTTGAACATCTTTTTATGCAGTATGGAGCCAGTTGTACTTTCTGTTAGATGTCTACTCGTGATCTTTAATTTTTGTTTTAAGATATCGGTATTTTCTTATTGATTTGTGACAGTTCTTTATCTAGGACATTAGTCCTTTGTCTGTCACACAGATTGGGAAGAAGCTGTCTCTACCAGTTTACCATCGAATTCTTTCATTTGTTTATGATATTTTTGGCTAACAGAAAGCTATTATTTTATGTAGTCAAATCTAATGTCTTCTTTTATGGCCTTCTCTGAGGTCATTTTTAAAATCTGATTTTTTTTCTAGTATTTTACAGCTTCGTTTCTTTTGCCTTGACTTCGGTGAGCTACTTGGCCTTTATTCTGGAGTAGGCAGGAGGGAGAGGTTCGGTTTTTCTGGTCGGCTGGCTGGCTTCCCCGAACTGCGGTTCTTCCTCAATCCAAGCCCACAGCAACATTTCCAAAACTGCTCAGCTCCCGCATCGGATCTAGCCAGATTGACTGCCTCCCCGGCCACAAAGGCCAGACAATCGGTTTTAAAGCCTCTGTGCAGGAAATTTAATCTGCGGCTGTCGAGAGTGTAGTGCCAGCACACTTGGCAGCTGTTCCGGACCCCTTCGCAGGGAACGGGAAGCGGGAGCGGCGGGTTCCTGGGGGCTCCTGAAGTTAATCAGGGCAAGTCCAAAATCTGATTGCAGGCCTGGGTGAAGTTGAAGCTACAGGGTGCGGATCAGGAGGTGGGGGAGAGCTGGAAAAGCAGAGAAAAAGTCCCAGCCAACCACTGTGTGGGGGCAGAGACCAGGTTCCAGGAGGCCAGAGGCCTGCGTGCCTGGGCGGGGCCCCGGCCTGGTGGAAGTGGCAAGGTCAAGGTTGGGGGAGACTTTGCTTTTCTGTCCTTTGCGAGCAGCCCTGTAGCAATCCTCAGTCTGATGGTGGGATGTGGCCTCAGCTGTCACCTGCACAGGAGGCGGGGCCAGGAACCCTGACGGTCGGTAGAAGGTAGCCCAGGCCTTGGGGAAATGAGAACTGAATGAAATAAGCTTCCTGAAAGAATTCACATAAATGCTGGGACAGTGTCATTAGTTTATAAATAAAGATATTTATATCTACTGAATCAGACCTAAATAGAGCGATCAATAAATTGATAAGTTAATTCATTCCTTCTTTGTCAAACCCTTACTGACTCAGGGCCCGGCACAGTGCTGAGTTCTGGGGGGGAGAGGAGGAAGGGGCAGGTTCCTGCCCGCCAGGGGCTTGTCCGGTTGGGGTACAGGTGGGTCAGCGGCACAGGCTGCACGGGACTGAGAGGCACGCCGGTGTCCTGTGAAAGGCCAGCGGGGACTCGGAGCCTCGCAGCTCCTCACAGAGCTGGCTAGAGCGTGAGGCGGTCAGGCAGAGTGTCCCCTCTGGAGCCCTTCCTCTCTCCACGTGGGTTAAGCTCAGGTTTCAGAATTACAAGGAATGCCACCCTTCCTCTGGTCTGTGCAGTCTCCTGCCAGGAATCTGAGCTCTAGTGCCAGAGGGATTCTTAATCCGAGGGACAGGATGGCCTTTCCGAGGGTCTGTGAGTCCTTTAAAATTGTACACAAATAGCCAGAGGGGAGAGGCGAGGGGACAGTGGGGAGAAAGGTTTTCAGGAACTACTGTAAAGGACACAGGGACAAAACCAAGGGGAAGGGTGGAAGCGAGGGAGGGAGGTGAGTTAGGATGGGGTGGGAGGAGGGATGGGGAGAAAATACAGACAACTGTAATTGAACAACAATAAAATAATTAAAAAATATATGAAAAACAAAAAATGTACACAAATGATGTGTGTGTGCCCCTTTTTCCTGGGGATGGGGTCCTAGATTTCGTTAGAATCTCAAAACAGCCTGCGACCTGGAAAGCTGAAGAACCAGACTTAGATTTCCCTCAACTCACTTAAGAATCCTTTATCTTACAACCATCTTTTCAAACATCCTATCAGACTCATACCTAGAAATGTGTGCAGTTACTAACAGGTGGTTCCTTTAAACCTTCTCCCTTGATCCTTCTGCTGCCCCCTCCCCCAGCCCCTCAGGTCTCCTCCTCCCTGTCCTTACTTATTGTTCTTGGGCAACCCTGGACTTAACCAGACGTAACAATGTGATCTCATCAAAGAAAGCCAGAAATTCACATTCCCAAGGTCTCACGTTTTGCCTCAGGTTTCTGGTTCAGCGTGCTCAAATCCAAAAATCAAGTTCAGCACACACTTCGCTAAGACTTTCTTTATGCAGGACGCTGGGCTCCAAGCTGAGGGAGGTGGGAGGGGAGCAGGACACACAGACGAAGTCAACCCAGTGCCCCTCTTCACAGACGAGACTGTTTGGCAAGTGCACCGAGGGCCCTGGGGACTGAGAGAGGAAGCGATTATTCCTCGCTCTAGGGCGCAGAAAGGCCTTGAAGACGTTGGAGCTGGGCAGTATTTCTTATCTCTCTGACCTTGGTAACATCACCCTCTGTTCCTGCACCTTCCGAATGAGCGGCGGGACCTGGAGACTGACACCCGATCAGAGACGCCCAGGGAATGAGGCTAAGAGAACTGGCCTTTGTCGCAGACGGCACCAGAAAGGGTAGGAGGCGAGGCACAGAGAAAGCTGGAGCAGAACAGATACCTGGAAATGCAGTGGAAGGAGCACATTATTATTTGAGTCAGTGTAAGACCTCTTGGAAACTGATATTAGTAGAAAATCTTAATCATCATTACTATCAATATTGTATGTTAAGAGGCTGGCTTTAAACAACCCAAGGCCTCATGCCTATTTTCCTAGACCTCAAAGAACAGGAAGACTGTTTTGCTAGGAGCGTTTACAGGCTGTGAGGGCTTTTCTGCAGCGTAGATTGAGGAGTGTGTGTTGCACATTTTCTTCTTACTAGGTCACATGTAATCAAGCATTTACTACCGGCATGAGTCACAGCCTAAAGTCGGAAGGCGCTTTCAGATCCCACATTCGTTCCACATCCTGTGCAGTTTATCGGCCTTGCTGATACATTTTCTTCTCTCTGTTCTTAGGACGGACCAGCCCCTGCCAAATTTCTGAGGCGGCTCACGGCTTGGAGGAAGGCTCTTGTGAATGAAGGGCGGCTAAAGTGACAGCGCAGGGATTTAATCCTCCTCCGGCTGCCGTGTGACCAGCAGGCTGATTCGCGGTGCCAAACGAGGCCGGTCAGAGCCGAGGACCAGCAGCAGGGGCCCGGGCCTCCAGAGTGAAAGAGTCGCCGGCCACCCCAGGAAATAGCAAACTGGAGCTTTTGTCCTGGGACACGGCCACCTACCACAGGCATCAGAGAGTGTGGCTGGCCAGGAGGGTCCTGCAGCCTGCCAGGGAGGTGTCTACGGAGGCCGGCTCTGGGCCACTGGCGCAGTGAGAGACGGAGAGTCCAACGCGAAGGGAGGTGTGAAATGTCTCCAGCAAGACCGGCGGCTTTGGGCGGGGCCGGGTGAGCCCCGCAGGCTCCGGTGACTTCCTTCGGCCAGCTCTGGCTCTGGCACTGGCTCTGGCCCTCAGGGGACTCGGGGCTCTGGCAGTCCCCAAGTCCCGGCTCCCAGCCGCCCCGCCTCCTCTGCTCCTCCCCAACCTGCCCTTGATCGGGGCCTCTGTGCTGAGATGGAGACGTGAGCCAGTGGTGACGGTGACGATGACAGCAGTGTATGTGCATGGAGGTGGCCTGGTGACCCCCCACTATGCCAGGTGGGACCGGCGGGACAGCGTGGAAAGCGGCTGCCAGACAGAGTGCGACCAGGAGGCCGAGGAGGAGGGGCAGGCTCGCCAGCTGACACCCTTCGAGAAGCTGACCCAGGACATGTCCCAAGACGAGAAGGTGGTGAGGGAGATCACCCTGGGGAAGCGGATCGGCTTCTACCGGATCCGGGGGGAGATTGGAAGCGGCAACTTTTCCCAAGTCAAGCTCGGGATTCACTCCCTAACCAAAGGTAGGGTCTGACCACCCAGGGATGGCCGCCGCCCCCATGGGACCGGGGCGCAGTGTGGGGTGGGCTAGGGGTCCGGGGCCAGGAAGCCAGAGAAGCGTTGCCACGTGAGGCCGTGTCCTTTGTCGTTGTTATTCCGGTTGATTTCCACGGTAACTAGGTGAGGGCGCTGTTCTCATTTCCACTTTATAGGCAGGGGAACTAGGATCCACAGAAGCTACGTGTGGCCCCAGCAGTTCAGCCTTAGATGGTCTGACTCCCCAAACCCTCCCACTGCCCCATGTGGGAGAACTCACTCAGACACTGAGGGGCCTCTGTCCTGGGGACTGTGGCTTGGCTCCGAGGCAGCCCCTGGCCCGAGGCTTTGTTTACACTGCCTATTTGGGTTTGTGTGTCAATACCTAGGGCACAGAGTGGCCCAGGAGACCTCCCAGACGGCGCCAGTCTGTGGACACCTGGGACCAGTTTCCCCTCCTTGCCTGAGGCTGCTGCTTCTGTTATATTTGGGGAATAGGGGTTTGATCTCAGGACCTTCTGTGCCTCAGTCTACGCTGCAGTGTCCTCACTGTCACTAGGTTCCTTGCCGTCTGTTGAAGCCCACACCCGCTTGCCACCAGTCACTCTGGATTCCAGAGCAGCGGCGTCCAGCACGTTGGCCTCGGGAAGGAACTCTGCCCAGGGCCCAGCAGCGTGGGCACTTCCCCGGGTTACCGCTCCCTTAGCTGAAGCCTGGACACTATCAAAGGGAGTTAAAAATAATAAACAGAAAAGGAACGCTTGCAACTCCATATAATTTTACTGACTTCCTGAGCCCAGGGGCCCTGCCCTTTCCCTGCCTGGGAGCCCTGTCCTGACCTGCTCTCTGTTAGGACCAGCCTGCCAGGTGCCTCCACAGCTGCTCTTTTCTTATACGTCTTTTGTTCTCCTTTCTTCTCCTCCCCCAGTCCCACGTTCCTCCCGTCCCTGCGTTTGGCCCCTATAGAGAAAACACCTTAACCCCCCATACACACACACACACACACACACACACACACTCCCAAGTCACTGGAGCCGTGAGTGCCCTTCCCTGCTGCTCTGAGCCCGAGGGCCGGCTGCTCACCTTCCTAGGTTGGGTGCACCAGGGAGCCACAGGCTCCTCACATATAAAATGTGGCCAATAGCAGTGCTCACTCCACTCATAAAAGGGGATCTTGTTGTGTAGCTCAGATCTAAGCAGGATGGGTGTTGCTTCTCCGTAGTCTAGGGCAAGAATGGGAGAAAAAAGAACATGTGGGGACAGGTTCTATCTCAGATAGAAAACTGAGACAGAAGACAGGACCAGGGAGTGGGGAGATGTCGGAAGGGGACGACACCCAGGATGCTACTACTCGTCTGCTTTGGCTGAAGTCACACGTCATCCCGTTCCTGGGATGGGAGCCTATTCAAACAGCTCACAGAGCAAGGGGCAACTTCTGTCCGAGGACCCCCAGCAGGGTGGGGAGCCAGGTAGCAGCAGGTGACTGTCTTCAGTCCTCCTCTTTCTCGGGGCCACGTGGTTTCTCGTTTCCACTTCCCTTGGTGGGTGTGTGCCGTCCTCACGCTTTTTTCTGCAGAGTGGCTTTCCCTGCTCGATGGGCAGAGGCGCATCCCGCAGCCACCCAATCTCTCAGCTTCCTTGTTCGTCTCCAGCCCACTTGTTTCATTCTGTTTCAGCTCAGAATTTAGAGAGAGGAAGAATACAGGGACGGGCAAACGTGGGTCTACAGGAATGAGTATGTGAAACAGTTTATTTTCGTTTTATTTATTTATTTATTATTGTATGATTTCTTCTCCTTATTGTTAACCTGCTTTTGCCCATCCCTGTATGACTGCTCACTGGCCAGCCGACGATGGGCCGCCCTTTGGCCGAGGGCACACCTGTGTCGAGTCAGCAGCAGCCCTCAGGGTCATCGGTCCCGTGACTCTCTCAGCAGAGCCCAAGGTCCCAGCATGTGACTTTGAGAAGGCGAGCAGAGAGCGCGGCAAAGTGACAGGGCCACGTCCCCCACAGAGTCGGGAGCCAGGCGAGCAGGAAGCTTCCCCCAGACAGCACCGGATTCCGGAGACAGGCTGTGATTCTGGGCGCACGGAGGAGAAGTAGCGACAGCTGGATGTGTTGGAGACTCCCTTCTGAATTCCGCAGGTTCTGTTGTGTTACGGAATTAAGTCAGTTCTAGTCCCTTGAGGATCAGAGAAGGTGGCGTTTCCCAGCTGTGCACTGGGACACTTTGGTGGCTTCATTGACATGGGACCCTCAGTGCTGACCTGCCCTATTGTCAAAGGTTCAAGCCCCCCCCCCCCCCCCCCCGTTATAGGGTATGTGTGCCAAAGGGGTGGAAGGTCAAAACAAGCCAGAGAATGTACTGGCAGGTAACTGAGCACATTAATGCAACAGAAAAAAGAAATCCCTGACTTCGCCTCATGTCTTGTAGGCCCCATGCCTCGTCTCTCTTCTGGGGCTCTACCCTCCAGCGAGCCCCTGAGGGAGGGAAGAGTAGGAGAATGAGAATTATGGGCATGGAAAAGGGGGAGGGGTGGGTGGGAACCCAGGTGCAGTTCCACCTGAGGCAATGCAGACAGTGAGCGGAGGCAGGTGTTGGGGGACCAAGTCTCGGGGCAGGATGACAGAGTCGGGACCAGAAAACTGTGGCTTGTGAATAGCGAGGGGACATTTGGCTGCTGTGAGCAGACAGGAACAGAAGGAAAGGGGGGGACACCCCTCTAGAATCTGTACCTGTAAAAGAGGAAGGAGATTTATCCATGGGTGGTTTAGGGAGCCTTGCTGGGCGTCTCAGTTGCTAGCCAGGCCACGTCAGATTATGTCGTATGGAAGTGATTCATATCAGCAAGGTCCCCATGCAAAGACAGTCTGCCCAGGCCTGTCATGAGGTTTTCTAGGAAACATGGGCCGCCTGGATAAGAGAAGGGAACAGCGTCCCAGGAAAGCGAGGGTTTCGGCGCCGGGGCAGCTCCCAGGACACTAGTTTTGACAGAGGTGCCTGCTGCCCTGATCTCTAGGGAAAAAAAGACTCCAATACAGGCCCCTGCTGGCTGGGGTTTATATAACTCACACCTCAGATTCCCTTGGGCCTTGCAAGCTGATAGGACAGGCTGAAGCCAACATGATTAGAAATGAGGCTGATTAGGAATTTCTCAAAAGCGAGGATGCACTCAGGTTCTGAATACTTTATGTCCCATCTGTTGTCACAGACAAAAGTAAGAGAGGCAGCGATGTCTGTCCCTTCCTCCGCTGCTGCCCTCCCTGACCTCTTCTCCCCTGGCCTTCCTCTCCAGTTGCTCTGTTCTCATGTTTCCACAACAATTTCTTTTCACCTCTCAACTTATTTATTCATCAGTTCATTCCCTCCTCTCTTAAAAAAAATGTAATGGACTCTCCCACGCCCACACTTTGCCCTGGGCCCTTGCAGAGATGAACGTGGCACAGTTCTCGCCTGTACGGGGACTCAGGATATGTCATGGAGACGGACAGGAAACCACTGATGAGCGTTGTCACCCAGTAAGGTACCAAGGGTGGGCTCCCCTGTGCCTGAGGGTGTCAGGAAAGGGCCAGTTGACCAGGAAAGCCCTGTGTTGTGTCTTGGGGTTTGAGGAGAAATCACACCAGACACAGGGCAAAGGGCATTCCGGGCAGAGGGAAGGTGAGCAGTGCACGGAGGGGCGAGCCAGTCTGGGGAGGACTTGGAGGTCTGAAAACTCTCCGACGGGGCTGGAGCCCAGAAGCCTCCACAAAGAAGCATGCGATACGGTGGGTGAGGCAGGCAGGGGCTGACCGTGCAGAATCTTCTTGCATATTTGGATTTTGTCATTTGGTTCCCTGGGAGTCATTGAAAAGCTTAAAGCAAGCAATGAACTCAAGCAACTATTAGAATTTGATCTCAGGGAGGAAGGAGGACCTGAAGTTGGGGTGTGACCAGAGTCAGGGATGTCAGAACAAAACATTAGTCGGATGGCTCCGATGAACGTGACGTCCATCTCAACTTGGGGGGGTGGTTGTGAGCATGGAAGGAAGGGGATGCATTTGAGAGAAATCTGTTAGAGTATTGGAAACCCCTGTGGTCCGTCGGATGCGGGAGGAGAGAGAAGGACAGGGAGAGAAGGAATTGGGGGTGATTCCCAGGTTCTGGCTTTAACGATGAGCAGTCCACAGCAGACACGGGTGGACAGGTGCGTTTGAGGGTCTCTCCACCTCTTTGCCTCTGGGCTTTTTCCTCCTACCTGCACACCAGGCCACAGGTACAGGGGCAGTGACACCCCCAGGAACAGCCAATGACCAGTGACTGGCGTAGAGATGGGTAAGGATCCCAGCTCTCTCTCGCTCTTCTCCCAATAAAATATAGGCATCCCAAATCTCAGCAGGACTAACTGGTAACATAGCAACTTACCCTTTACCGTCACCTTTCCTCTCTACCTCACTTCCTCCTCCTTCTACCAACATTTCCTGGGGTCCCCTCCCTCAGTCTCCTTGCACTTGACTCTCTGCTTCAGAATCTGCTTCTGGCAGAACCTGAACTAAGACAAACAACCATGCGGAGAGGTCGTGCAGGCAGGTGTATGGGTGCACCTGGAGTCACGGAGGACATACTTGTAGAGAAGAGGGAAGTGGGTGATCTGGGTCTTGAGCTGCCATAACGTGGGGAGCAGAGGACAGCGGAGAGGGGCCTGCACGTTATCAGAAGCCTGGGCCAGCACTGGGGGAGGACCCAGGCAGAACAGAGGCCTCTCCTCTGGGGAATCTGCCCTTAGAAGAGTAGCACACCCAGTAGGCTCCACAAAACCAGGAGTTCCCATGTCATGCAGCAGTGGGGGGACCCATTGCTGGGGCCCATGGCTCGCCCAGGTTCCAGCCTGGAGGGTCTGCTCCCTCCTCCTTCCCCAGCACTGCCTCCCCAGCTCCCAGAAAACCCCGCCTCTTCCCATTCTAGAAGTCCTTCTCTGATAGACCAATAACACTCCTATGTAAACCAGCATCATCCATTTCTGTGCAGGTAAACAAACACTGTGCCGAACTTCTTCAAAGCAGATATTTTGCAAGTAGGTCCAGTAGGCAGGGTACAATTTGTTCTGCCCAGTTACTCGCCTAGAAAATCTTTCTTATCTAATACAGTCTGGTCCACTTTGAACCAAAAAAAATGAATGAAGGTTTACCTGGGAGCAGAGATTCATTCATTTTCAACCATCAATCATTTTTATTACACACTTAATCCATATTAATTCTATATCTAGGTTCCATAATTAGTTGCAGGGAAATGAGGAAATATAGATAAGCAAGAAAAATTTAAGGGAAAACCATTCATGATCCTCTTATTAATAAAGTAATTATTCTGAACATTTTGATGACTATCTCTCTGGAATTTTTTCTATGCAACTGTCTATTTGTATTTTTCCTTCCTTGTTCCATATTGAACATCTTTCCATGTAACTATTTTGATAGCCACACGGTGTACCATTATACAGGTAACTACACCACGCTTCATGTTAACCTTCAGACTTCTCTTGCTGGACACTTAAGCCATTCCCAATATCACAGAAGTCTTCTCATGCACACACACAACCTCGTACATATGTCGGATTATTTCTTTAAGATTAAATGCCAACAGTGAAATGGCTGGGCCAAAGGTGCAACCGTTTTTAACACTCTCGATGCATAAACACCAAATTACCATGAATCGGTATCATAGCCGGGGAATTGCACCAATTAACCTCCCCCGCACACGAAGTCCCGTGGGGTCCAGGCACTGGTGAGAGCAGAGCCTGCGCGGGGTGGGGCAGGAGGAAGTCAGCAGGGACAGGCCGGCGTGCTGAGATCGTAGTTCAGAGAACGCAAGCTCTGAGCATCGTGGCTGTCACAGGACAGGTCACAGACACCATCCTGGAAGAGACTGGCTGTGAGGCAGCCTTGAGGGATCACCAGGAGTCAACTTACTGAAGAGCGGGAAAGGGGTCATGAAGCAGATCAACGGAATGGTCCAGATGGAGGAAAGGGAGCAACGAAGGCTCTGTGACAGCTGGACTACAGCTGCACGCAGGGAGGGGAGGGTGCAGGTCAGGAGTGTGACGGATGTTGAGGCTGAAGGCGTGAGAGGGGCTTTCTCGGCTAAGCAAAGGAGCTTGAACTGCACCCGGAAAACCCAGTAAAGGTCATCAAACTAAAACCTTCTTGGGAGCCTGGCATTGGCATCGAAACATGCAAGACACACTGACCATCAGGAAGGAGCTCTGTTAGCTTGGGAACAGCCATTTCCTCTCTGCTGCTCATAAAATAAAGGGGCCAATCCAGTTCCCTTTCCGTTCTAAATGTCTATGAGCCCATGAACGCTGGCTCTGATGCTTTCTTTTTTCCAGAAAAGGTGGCCATTAAGATCCTGGACAAGACCAAGTTAGACCAGAAAACCCAGCGGCTGCTGTCCCGCGAGATCTCCAGCATGGAAAAGCTGCACCACCCCAACATCATCCGCCTGTACGAAGTGGTGGAGACGCTCTCCAAGCTCCACTTGGTGATGGAGTATGCAGGGGGTGGGGAGCTCTTTGGGAAAATTAGCACTGAAGGGAAGCTCTCGGAGCCGGAAAGCAAGCTCATCTTCTCCCAGATTGTGTCGGCCGTGAAGCACATGGTGAGTGGGGCACGGAAGGAAAGTCCCGTTCCCATTCCACAGTGGGAACATCGGCCTCAATTTGCCAGCATCCCAGGGTCCCAGAGGACTTTAGTCCCACAGCAGCTCCTTCTGTGAGAGTCAGAAGCCTGGCTGCGTACGTGCTCGTGCCTCTGAAGCAACACCCGGGAGCCCCCATTCACAGGGCAGCCTCCTGGTGTGTCTGCACGTTAGCAGGAGTCACTCGGAGCTGCCTGATGCCACTCACTCAGCCCCTGGTCACATCGCTCCAACCCCATCTTCCACCACCCGGAGGGCTAGCTCCTTGCTGCTTCTTGTCCTTGTCCTCCGAGCCCCGTGTCAAGGATGCCCTCTGCCCTGTTACCACGTCTCACACTCCAAACCTCGTCCACACTTCACGACCCAGCTCAGGCCTGTCTCTCAGAGATTCTCCTCAGTCTCCCGCTGGCTCAACACACACCCATCTTCCTCGACTTCAGTTCTTGCTGCCTCTGTGCTTGGACTTGATCGCGTCACCCTTAGTTCAGTTCTCTGATTATTTCTTCAGCTAAATCTGGACTCCTAAAGCCCATGCCCTAGATCTTTTAGGAGCTGGTGCTTGGTGCACCCTTTTTACGCTTGACCGTATTCCTGGGCACACTGTAGCACCTGGGCTGCAGACTGCACACACTTCGACAGCTCTGTTAGTGCAGAAGTTTGAGCTGCTTTTTCCTAGATCTCAGTCAGTACAACGGGCAGAAAACAGGCCCTGGTCTGGGGCCTGTATTAGTTGAGACACTGTTTCTAGTTTATTTCTCTGCCTGGCTGTTGGAGGTCAAGGCCTGGGATCAGTTACCTTCTAGCCAAATTATCAGCAGGGGAATTAGTGACCTGGGGGCCCAAGATAGCAGTCAGGAGGGAGGGAGGGGGAGGAAAAAGAGGTGAGCAAGGGAGCAGAGTCTGATCGTAACAGCGGTGGGTGTTTCAGACCTGAAGGTAGTCTTTTCTGTGGCCTGTACTGTGACGAGCTTGCCCAGGGTGGGAGAGCGCCCAGGGTGGGAGAGCACCCCGGGCCCAATGTGACACAGTAGAACAGCCAGGAAAGGAGTCTTCCACGGTCTCCTGGGAAAAGAGCTCAGCAGAGAACTCAGCAGTAGAGGTGCAGGCTGAGCCCTCTGTCCCTCTGGGCCCTGCCATTTTTCCCAGCTGCCTGGTCTCGGGAAAGGGGAAGGTTGAATCAAAGACACAGCTCCAAGTTTCACTGGGGGGGTGTGCTCCGCGCCAGCGCCGTGCTGAGCATGACAGACACAGTGTCACATGCGGTTTTCATGATGCCCTCACGAGGTGCCCTTGGTGTCCCCGTTTGACCGGGAGGCGCATTGACGCAGGACACAGCCCGAATCATTGAACCTAGAGTTAGTTAATCACGTGCTGTCGGGTTCCAAAGCCTGGATTGTTACCCCAAAAGGCCCATCAGCAAGAGTGCCAGGGAGCCATTTCCCAAGAGCTCCTGGGGCCTGAACAGGTCCAGATTGCCCGGAGTCAGAACATAAAGGTGGGGGTGGGGCACGGGCTGACAACCAGCCGTGGCACCTGCTGCTGGAACCCTGCCCCACGAGGCCCGGTCCTTGCTCATAACTCTGTAAAGACAAAGGAGCCCAGCTGAGGGACTGTCACTGGGAAGCTGGCGGAGGGGGGGGGGGGGTGCTCCAAGCCTTCTTGGACTTGGCCCTAGTCAAGAGGTTGCTCAGCCAGAAGAACCCATGTCCAGCCTGACATGTCACTGTGTTTAGGAACGTTGTGGAATAAGATCTGGGTCTTCTCTCCGGCACTAATTCCCGAGTTCACACACATGGGACAGGCTCCGACCCCCACCCCACGGGAAGATAAAGCCTTTTACCTCTTTGGGGCCTGTGGGTGGGTGACTAACAGTCACGCAGACAGGGCAGCTCTGGAGGTCTGCGAACAGCTTCATCTCCACTGAATTTCTGCTGAGGTCATCTCACTGTTTCCGAGCAACTGATGCCTGTTTTTGTGTTGGTATTTTACTTTGCAAACGATCATTTCCCCCTATTTCTTCTTCCACAGCACGAAAACCAAATTATTCACAGAGACCTGAAAGCGGAGAATGTGTTCTATACCAGTAGCACGTGTGTGAAGGTGGGCGATTTCGGATTCAGCACAGTCAGTAAAAAAGGCGAAATGCTGAACACGTTCTGCGGGTCCCCGCCCTACGCGGCGCCGGAGCTCTTCCGCGACGAGCACTACGTGGGCGCCTATGTGGACGTCTGGGCCTTGGGGGTGCTGCTGTACTTCATGGTGACGGGCACCATGCCCTTCCGGGCGGAGACCGTGGCCAAGCTGAAGAGGAGCATCCTGGAGGGCGCGTACCACGTGCCCGAGCACGTGTCGGAGCCCTGCCTCCGGCTCATCCAGGGCGTCCTGCAGCCGGTGCCCGGCGAGCGGCTGGGGATCGACCCCATCATGAACCACGAGTGGATGCAAGGGGTGCCGTACCCCGCCCCTCTGGAACCTTTCCAGCTGGATCCCAAACATTTGTCGGAGACGGGCACCCTCAGAGAGGAAGAAAATGAGGTCAAGAGCACGCTGGAGCATTTGGGTATCACGGAAGAGCACATTCGAAACAACCAGGGGCGGGACGCCCGGAGCTCCGTCACGGGCGTGTACCGGATCATTCTGCACAGGGTCCAGAGGAGGAAGGCGCTGGAAAGTGTCCCCGTAATGACGCAACCAGAGCCTAAAGACAGGGACCTAAAGAAGGGATCCCGTGTCTACAGAGGCATAAGACACACGTCCAAATTTTGTTCAATTTTATAAAGCGCGTTGGACTGCTGGTACTGAACCAAAATCATTGCTGCTGCTTTTACATTTTTTCAGACAACTTGGTGGAGATATTTTTTGTAATTTTTAAATAAATTTAAATTTAAGGTATGCATTTTTTTCCCCCTCACATAAGTGTTATTAACTCAGATTCTGGCTTGATTTACAGCCTTCTCTTGTGCTCAAACTCTAGCATTTATTCATTGAATCGAGAAATGCCTTTTCAGTGCCTGCTATAGGCCAGGCTATGGGAAACAGCGGGAAATGAAATGCCCCAGGTTCTCTCTGTTTTATGCAGGATATTCTAGAGCTGGACAGAGGCGCTAACAAAAAGGTTTGAAAAAACTGTCGTAGTGATGGAGGAGTCAGATAGAGTGGCTGACGCGAGAGGCTTGCTCCTGTGGGTTGCATCGCTGGGAAAGGCCACTTTGAGTGGATGATGGGCGGATGTGAAGGAGAAGCAGGAGTAACTTGAAGAGCAGACCACGCACGCGCAGCACACTCCAGGCAGCCAGAGGTCTCAGACTGGCTCCGCCCAAACAGAGCCCCAGACTAAGGCTTGGAGGTAGAGCAGTTTATCTGGGAAGTAGCCCAGTGAGCAGGAGTGAGGGGCTCGGCCGGGGGTGGGGTGGGGGAGGAGGAAAGCCGGTACAGGTGGCCTGTGCTCAGTCTGCAGGCTTCTCTGAGGAGCCTCATGGAGCTCATCTCAGGTGTCTGCCCCATGCACAAAGGGTAGAACATTCACCCGTCAGCTGGAGTGACCCCACAGTGTCGCCTGCACTGCACTCTCAGATGACGCTGTGCAAGAGCCAGATGGGTCCCCAGTACCCCCCATGCCCATGTCAGAGAAGCCCTGGAAGTACAAGGTCCTCACCATTGGCCACGTAGGACCAGCGGGAAGCTGTCCGGATGTGCTCAGGGACAGTCACCGAATTAGTGGCTGGAGGAAGGGTGGCTGAAAGGGTCTGAGTGCACAGAGGAGCTTCCCACCCGGCCCAGCTCTTTGCAGTGTGGCCGTCTTTAAGGGGTGGGGCCGGAGGACTCAGCAGCTGGGTTAGCAGAAGCGGCCACAGCAGGAGTGCTTGAGCTCTGGTGCACCAGATGCACCTGCAGGGCTTGTTAAAGTGCAGCCTGGGAGGCCCGAGCCACCGAATTTCTGATTCAGTTCAGCAGGGCCTGAGCATCTGCAGTTCTCAAGTTCCTGGGTGATGACGATGCTGCTGGCTGGGGACCACACTCCAAAGACGCCTACGCTACGGCCCTACGTCCGCTGTTCCTGAGCCTATAATTGGACTCACCCTGCTGTAAACTTCCCACCTTGGCATTTCGGCTGGTCCGGGTTGGGCACCAGGACCCAGACCTCTGTCATCACAGCATCTGAGCCTTCACCTGCCCTGCTTGGCTTCTCAGGCCACGTCATTGTTACCAGAAGGCCCAGAAGTGACACTCGATTGAGTGACTCTCCTGGGCTCCAGAGATTCTCCTCTCTAACTCCTTGTGATAGATAATCAGGGTCCATCATCAAAGCTCTTTTCTTTGCCTCCTTGTCAACTAGCACAGTGGTCCCAAAAGGACCCTGTGACAGTCATAGATCCCAGTTTACTGGGCCCTTTCGGGCTGTCTGATGAAAGCATCCCTTTGCCCCCGGAACCAAAACTTGGAATCCAGCAGAACCTGGGTCGCAGGAGAGAGAAGCAGCCAATCTTCAAGTGGGTCACTAACCAAGACGGTGAGAGAAGTCAGTCCTGCGTCTGCCCATTGGTCCTCGGACCAGTATACATTAACCGGAGGGGGACGCGAGTCTGTCCGCGGCTGTTGACGCATGCGCACTGAATCCTGGCGGACGGCTCCTCCACCCTGCAGGACCCTGCCCACCAGCCGGTGCCTTCGCCGCCCCACGTCTTTGTGGGTGCTGGTGCGTCGGGGTCTCAGGCACGTATTCGCACGAGCAGGTCCTGTGGTCAAGTGCCCATTGGCTCACTGCCTTTGCAAAAACAGTGGTTCTTGAGGCGATGTTAGGTGAGACGCCATGACGACGGGTCAGACATTGTCTGCTGTAGCTCAGCTGCGTTGGAGAACAACCGTGGGCAGGAAAGGCGAATCGTGTCCTGAATAGATTCAAATCCAATAAGGACACATCACTGCCATGCCCATCGGCATTTAAGACTGTGGATCTGATCATGCCCAGCTCTGGAGAAGACAGCCCCATTGCTGGGTCCCTTAGTGTCCCAGAATCAGGTGCCCAGTAGCGCACCAGGAGTCTGAGTTGTTCTGAGAAAGCATGGCCTCCCGCCGGGACCCTCCAGGGCGGAGCTGCAACCTCCTGGAGCTGCCTGAGACCCCACACAGTGGCCTTCACTGCTGTGCGGTGGCCTGAGTTGCAGCACAGTCCCACTGAAGCCTGAAACTGGATCTTTGTGTGTGTGTGTGGGACCCACTCGGAACTGGCAGCCCTGATGAACAGGTTGGAGGAATAAACTGAGCACAACGTATGTGCTTGTAAAACCCAGAAAGGCCTGCAAATGCTGTGCCTCTATCCCAGGGCCCAGGGGTGCAGTAAAGGACTTGATCTTTACTGCAGAGCAAATGTGCGGGTCTGCCCTGGCCGTTGGCCCTCTCAGTTTTTCAGTGGTGTGGCAGGCCCCCGATTCCTCCGGCTGTCTATCATGCGTCCTCTGGCTCTCTTAAACCTTCCTAGAGCATCTGGAGTGCTTGCCACTTTCTGAGGCTAAGTCTGCCTGACACCATGGGCAAGCCCGATGTTCTGCAGGATGGCAAGGTGACCAGGTCCTTTCTGACTATACTGACATAGTTATATTGACGTAGCACACATTTATCACCACCTAGGGACAACTGCTGTCTGGCCCAGAGAAATGTGAACTGCTCTTGATCCTCCCTTCCCTGGTATCTGTCTCAGGTTAGACTTTTGTCCACAGTCCTCAAAAATTCTAGGTGTATATGTTGCATATACCTGTGGCAGCAAAGACCTGCCCTGCGCCCCACCACCTTCCACCAGATCTGTAAACTCACCTACGTCTGGGACCATGATTCTCCCACTGGGACAGGCTACACCAGGCTGCTGCTCACCAGCCTCTTTTCTTTCCTTTTTTTGGTCACGCAAGTCAAGGAGCCCTCTAGCCAGCTGTCATGCAGAACTCCGTGACCACAAACCCCTGCAGGTCAAGACGCCCGGATGTCCCCTCCAGCCTTACCATCTATTATATCATGTCCATCTCGACTCTGACATTTAAGTAGTAACACACTGCCTCCGCCTCCCCACTCGAAAGCACGCCCAGCGCCCCGGCAGGTTTCCTACTGCAGCCCCAGGGCGGCTACCACCCAAGTCCCCACAGGTGCTGAGCATTCTCGTTGCCCCAGGAAGGAAGCAGCCTCCCAGGGAGCATAGGTGGCTCTTCAGGCTCACGTAATGAATCCATCCCAACATCCACACCTCCCGGAACATTAATTCCATCTCTTTCCTAAAGGCTATACCATGGCCGTGCCACTGCGCCCACCTCATTCACTGTGAGCCGAACTCACCTCTGAGCTCTGCAGCCGTCCCGCAAAGTGTGAGGACCCGTCCATGTGTCCTTCACACCACGTCCCAGGAGAATGCTGCCATGGTGATAAGCCGTCCTTCATCCTGCCTTACATTCTTCCCTCGCCCTCCCAACCCCTGGACCCATTTACCCTCAGGACCCACTCACCCACACTGCTCCTCAGTTCCTGGGAACACGCACCAGCCAGCGTCTGTGGTTCCGTCAGGGTCTAAGCGATGTCCTCCCAGGCCTGGGTGGTATTTCTCTGCTGGGGCTGTGCTGGGACCTGACCCAGTTCTTCGTCTGGAGAATAACAAAGGCTCTGGCAGAGGATCTTGAGGAGGCCAAGCATCATCTTGCTTACCTGCCTCCATCGAGGTCTCGGCAGGGTCTTCAAGCAAGGAAGACACACGTGAGGGAGACCTCGGCTTTCAACATCTTCAGGCCCATCCACCCTCTTGCCTCAAAGGCCTTGGTGCTTTCATAGCAGGCCTTGAGTTGATAGTTGGCTGACTTAAGCCTGTTCCTTAGTTTTTTTCCCAGGCTTTCAAAGCAGTTAATAAAAGCTGGCCAATCCCTGGCTGGTGTGGCTCAGTGGATTGAGTGCAGGCCTGCAAAATGAAAGGCCACAGGTTTGATTCCTGGTCAGGCAGGGCACATGCCTGGGTCGTGGGCCAGGTCCCCAGGTGGGGGTGTGCCAGAGGCAACAAATCAATGTGTCTCTCGTACATCAGTGTTTCTCTTTCTCTCTTTATCATCACCCCTCACTGTCCGAGCACCATGGGCACCTGCGATCTGATGCGCATCGTCCACCTGCACCTATCGGTGAGCCTGGGCAGAAACCGTGCTGCTCCTGCACACCAGTGGCTGTCAGCACCCTGACACCAACAGTGCCTTGGTGTTCTATCGATGTCACGATGCTTTAGTGGCATAGAACACCACAGTTATTATCTTACCATTCCGTGAGGTGGAAGCCCATCATGGGTGGGCCCCCATGTGCTGAACTCAGAGTGGTGTTAGGTCTGGGTTCCTTCCTGAAGGCTCTGGGGAGAACCTGTCTCCCGGCCTTTTCCTGCTTCTAGACGCATCTCACATTCCTTGGCTAGTGGCTCCCTTCCCCCACCCTCAAAGCCAGCCATGTGTGTCTCTCTGCCTGTCCTTCCCTGGCCACCGCTGACCACAGCCCAGAAGGGTTCCCTGCTTTTAAGGACCATGTGATGAGGTTGGCTTGTCCAGATCATCTAGGAAAATGGCCCATCTCAAGGTCCTTGACCTTAATCATACCTCCTTCAGCCACATAGAGTTAACGTGCTCGGGGTGCAGATGGTCATCTTTGGGGGCGGGGCCACCATTCTGCCAACTGCAGACAGCTATGGGATGTGGGCCCTGACTGATGAGTAAGCCAGCCCCGACCTCCTATCTTGAGGGTCTGCTTTATGACTATCCTGGGTACCAGTTTTTACCCCAAATTCTCTGAAACAGCAGAGCCCAAGACAAAAGCTTGTAGGCAAATCATTTTCTTGGGAAATGACCCCAAAATGCAGGACCCAGAGGTGTAAAACAGAAAAGAGGAAAGCTAACGAAGAAGCATTGCTGAATGGCCACAGGAACTGGCTGTCGGTTCTGCAGCATCTTCTGAGTGCTTCCCAGAACTGGCTGCCCTGGAGACAAAAGGGAAAGGCGTCTACCCCCAGCAAGCGTCCACCATTGGTCAAGGGCGGACCTGTGAAAATGTCATTCCTCTGCACTTCCGGGATGTGAAGGTGTGAACACCAGATGAGTTCTGTAGGCCCCCATTCACGTGGGCCCCACACCACAGCAAGGCCCACGTGAATGGTGTGTGCAGGAATCCAAAGGGAGGGGGCATGAGGTCCTGAGTGAGATCGCAGGGCAGAGGTCTGAAGCGGGGCCCAAGGTTTCTGAAGCGTGGACCAAAGGTGCTAAGGCTGGAGATCACTTGGCGTGTTTGAAGAGAAGGCAGGAGGGGCGTGGACTGGCAGGCACTGGTCCCACAGGGTGCATCTGAATGCGGAATTGAACGCTCAGGGTGCCAAGCGCTTACAGCAGAGTATGGCCTGCCAGTCGGCCAGCCAGCAGGAGAGAAGCTACTAGAGCTGGATCCGAAAGGTAACAAGATCTTGCCAAGGTGGGCTTGAGCTTTTGCAAAACTCATTCAATAACTTTGTTACTTTCTACTGTTGATGTCTGTACAATGATGGAATAAAACAAAGAGAGTTCCTTGTTTTCTACTTGCAAACTTTTAAAATGCAAATGCGTGTTTTACTATCACAAGCTGAAGCTCTGGTGGTATAAGCAGTTCCTGAGGATTGGTTTTCAACGTCTCCAGCATCAAATTATGGACTTTACAGTTTGGGGGGCAGGGAGGGTAGATGACAGGTCACCTACTTTCTCCCACCAATGAGGGGGAAACCAAGTGGAACTTATATCTCAATGAAGAGCAGTTGCTAGAAATTTTGAAACATTCACCTTTGTGTCCAGATTACATAGCTCCAAGTCACGGTCCTTGACCTATTGGTGTCCACTGAGTTTCTTAGGACATTTCAAACTGCAGACAAGAGACAAAGTGTTTCAACTAAGTCGCAGGAGGATCACAAGCAGTTGTTTGCTTCTATGAGCTTCATCTGGCATTAACCTTAGACGTTAGTGTTCACAAAAACAAAACCCTGGAAGGTGGGAAAAGGGTTCCATCCAGAAGGGCAAGGACTGTTAAAGCTGTATTGGTCAGGGTTCTAGAATTTGTCCAAGTGACCTCGGAGAACACTGGCCTTTTTCTGACTGCCCCAGAGGGACAGGGGACTGACCCAGGAAACAAAATCATGACTAGGTATTGAATCTGGACATGGCACGACAAAAATGAGCTAATCGGCTTTAGAAAATGAGGTTTAATTCCTAATTGACAGACTCCTGGTTGATAGGACCCTTAGGGATCACGTCGTCCATTACCACCAATGCAACAAGTCTCTGCAAAACCCCAGGGAGCCCCAGAAACACGAGAGCCTGCGGCCCCTGCGCTGGAGGCCCCGGCTGCCAGCAGGCAGTTCTGTGCGGGCTATAAAACTGCTTTTAATCTTCAGAGGCCAACTGTAATCCTAGGTTGTTTTAGGGAAACAAAGTAACTCTCTCCACAGACCTTCACAGCTAACTTCACACATGCTCATCACCCAATCTGGGACCGACTTTGTCTGAAGTGTAACAAACAGTAAGTCGCCTGTACACACCCCTCCACGCCAGACAGGCAGGCGTGGCCGGCAAGACCACACATCTGGTAAGGCTCTATTCTGACTTCAGTGAGTGCCTGATGTCATATTTTCAAATGTTTCCTGACTGATGAATGAATAAACTGGTGAATAAATAAGCTGAAATGACATGAATGCCCATGCTTAAAAATAGAGTATTAGCTGATTTATAGCCAAAATGTTAGTTCAAGAGGAAAAAAAAATACTCGAATAACTGAAATAGTTCTCTAAAACTTTATTCAGAATTATTCACCTCACTGTTAATAAGGTGTCCGGTTAATTCTCTGTGCCAGTATTACTAGGTCTGCCCATTTTTGGCAATGGACTTGGAGAAAATCCATTTTCTGACACCCCAAAAGGTTAAATTACTCTTTTCAAAACATACCAAACTTCCAATACTTGCAAAAGTATTGCATGCACCATTTTCCCATCAACCTTTAAATCTGAACTTCCATTATTAATCTGTATCAGTGGATGTTAAAATGAAATCATTTTAACAAATTATGACTGTACAAATCAAAATACCATTAGTTACTATTAAACAAGAGTATTTTACAAACACTACATTACACATTACCTTGCAGTTTGAAACATTACATTTCATATTTGTGTAAGTTCATTTTAGATAACTGAGACTTCATGGAATTTAACAGCAAATGAAATTTTAAAAATTTAGTTCTGTACATTAGTTCCAACGGTCTCTATTTTACAATCTATAAGGCTCATGTCCTAGGTCAGCACCAAAAGTATCTACAAAACTGTCTAACCAGTCTTATTCATACCATGTGATAGTGTTCTGAAAGTGAAAGTCTGAGAAAACGCTTTATAGATCCTGCTTCCAGATCTGGAAGTAGAACACTTGTTTTGGCTGATCAAAGTACGTAAAAATATGCGTTTTACCTTTGCGTTTTCATTAAACAGATTTTTTTAATGGAAAAACAAACAAACAAAAAAAACCCCCAAAACACCATGAACTTATTAGGTTGTTGGTCTTTGAGTTTGTAACACTGAAGCATCAGAAGTAACCTAACCATGCCTTGCCCCATCCTCCCTTATTAAAAATTGTAAAAGGCAGCCAGAAAAATGGTTTATTCTTCCAAATAAGGTACACAGGACTGCAGTAGCCACCTCGGTGCTGCCCAGCCTCATTCAGCACACACTGACTCAGGAGGGCCCAGTGCCGCGGTCACGGCCCCCCGTGCACCACACCGTCCACAGCAGGCGTCTGCCCAGCGCCAGCGTCTCTGCGCGGAGGCCCAACGATCCCTTGGGCCTGGGTGTGAAGCCGCATTGCCGTTTACAGAACCAGAGTTACGGGCCCCACTCTTCTCTCTTCAGAACGTACAAAGTCCAGAAAAAGGCCATTTGCTTTCAAACGGGGTTTGTGTATATCACACGTAAAAGCACATTCCTAAACTATAAACTTTCTTCAAAAACCACAGGTACTTCCCAAGTAATCTTGTTTGTTCAAAGTATAAAATTCTTACATGTTCAGACAAATTAGAATTAAGACAAGTACCTCTCTTCTGCAGAAGCACACGAGTCATCGAACCACATTTAACACAAAGCCTCATGCACACAAGCGGCCAGAGGGGTGGGGACCCTCACAGAGCCCTTGGCAGGGCCTGCGCCCTGGCCAGACCCCACCAGGGAGCGCACGGCGCACTGAGCAGAGAGACCTCCCCGAGAGCACCGCGGCTTTCCAGGCTCCGTGTCAGTCACACAAAATGTTAAACAACACGTAATCATTTAATGTCGCCCCGACACCCCATTCCCAACCGTTCCCACACACACCCACCCCCAACCCCCACCGGAGTCTCCCCTGCACAGGAGCCCTCAGTGCTCCCCATTGCTGATGACGGCTGCTTCGGGGTCCGCTGCTGTCCCCGGGAGTCTCGGCACTTTCTTAGCAGGACTTGGAATGTGCTAAAATCAAAGGGGAAACGTCTCAAAGTGTGTTTTTTTCCTTTTTTTTTTGTTGTTATGTTGCTAATTAAAGTTTCAATAGAAAAACAGAGCATAAGTTTGGATAGCTGTGAGCTAAATATATATGCTATGTAACTGTTCATAGTGGGAACTGAGTATCCGTTTCTTTACCTCCTGGTGAATTTAGTATACAATTATCCATAGAGCAACAGATGGGAAGGCCCCAGGCCCACCAGACACAGCGCTTGTCACACTTTACATCCACAACTCAACACTAGAAGCTGCACCTGATTTGTGTGATAGCAGAAGACGTACCCATCAGATTTGTGATGCAGAGATAAAATGAGAAACTTCAAGATGATAATGTCCTCAGTTTGGTGCTGCCTGTGATCCTGGTTAAGTCATTTTGACAACCTGCAGCCTCATCTCTAAAATGGGCAAAATATCACGGACCTCAGGTAGTTTTTATAAGGATTAACTTAGAAAATATAAATAAAGTACCTGGCATAAGGGGGAATTCAAAGCACAGCCATTATTGTCGCCGCCTGACAGTTTTGGGGGCCAGTCTGACAACTGGCCTGAGGAGCGGTGAGAACCTCCCTCTACCAGCCTTTCTTTAAATCCTGGTATTGATAAAACCTAGTGCTTTCAAAGTGCTGATAATTTAAGTGAGGACTTTACAGAACTGGAAACTAGCACAGCTGGAACCCACCCCCAGAGCCTTGCTCTGACTTCCTCTGCTTCCCGGACTTTGATGCAGGCTCCGCCCAGTGGGGCCAGTGTCGTTGTGGATGCGGTGAACAAATTCACACGGACCACCAAAGTCCTGTGGAGAAACAGGGACGGCACGGCCACTCTCAGAGAGAGCGTGCCCTGGCCCTAACCCGGACAGGCTTTCATTGCTTTCTAAGAGTATATACATCAAAGAAGGTTCTCATTCATTCTGCTCAGGTTTGCTTTGCGTGATACTTTTTACAGATAACAAAGGAAAGGATGTTACTGATTACTTCTTAGAGATTAACAAGGAAAAAATGTTGCAAATGCAAGGGAATGACAAGAGTGATTGGTCTGGTTACACTCCATCCTTGGGAGAATTAGCACTGACTTTAGGAAGTTACTCTAAAGATCTGCAGTAAGCATTTTCTGCTTCAACTCAGGGTGAGGGAGATTTAACAAAAGCAAGCCTCAAAGCAGCCTGGGTACAATGCAGGCCTGGCTTCCCACGGGAAAGCCGATCCGTGGGTTTGGCTCCTGTGTGCCAACTCACGACTGCTGGTTTTCCAATAGGGCCGGGCTACATTTGCCGTTGCCAGGCGGACCGGTTCCCTACAGGACATCCCTCTAAGTTCCTAAATCTCAGTTCGGCCCCCTAAGGCCAGGGATCTGGGGGTGGAAAGCTCGACCTTGCCAGAGCCCCGGAGCAAACCCAATGGGCCTGACTTACCTCGGCCACCGTGCTGGAGTGTACAAGTCCCACTCCTCCGTCCAAAGTGTTGGCCCTGGGAGAGGGGCGCCGGGCATATGTTCTCCTGTGCTTTTCATCCACTCTAACCAGGTACCATGTTCCTTCAAAGAGTGAATCTATTGAACCCTGGGGAATATAGTTGGCTAAAAGCAAGGCAGAGAGTGTGGAAAATTAGTTATAACATACAACTACCTGGTAATAAACTACAGAAGGTGCATATTTTCCTGTACTTTTCATCAACATCGAATTAGGACTGAATACCGCCTAGGTACGTGGGTATCCTTATCTTACAAGTAACATGTTTAATGTTGTTATAGCCTTCCAATAGGCTTTTGGGCATACGTGTATGCATGTTAACAGTTTAATGTAACATTTTTACCCAGGTGATGAGTGTCCTCCCGGAGCTTCATGCTTTCAGCAAAGAGAGCTGGTGTCATACAAGTTCTTGAGTCGAGCCTTGATTTAAGATCACACAAACTTGCTGTTATTTTATCAAGAGCAGACCCTAAAATAGTAAATAATTCCAACGTTAAAAGACTAAAAATAGCATGCCCAAAGCCTAAACAAAATGTTGCCCAGTGGGAAAAAGAATCTTCTCATTTTTGTTAGAAATGCTGGCTATCATTTAGTAAAAGGATGGTGTCTCTCTGACACAGCTTCCTACCACCTCTGACTACCCATCTGCCTGGTGGTTTTTTAAAAGATTTTATTTATTTGCCTGGCTGGTGTAGCTCAGTGGATTGAGTGTGGGCTGCGAACCAAAGGGTCACCAGTTGGATTCCCAGTCACATGCCAGGCACATGCCTGGGTTTTAAGATTTTTTTAAAAAATCTTAAAAAAAAAGGAAAAGATTTTATTTATTCATTTTTTTTAGAGAAAAGGGAAGGGAAGGAGAAAGAGAGTGAGAGAAACATCAATGTGTGGTTGCCTCTCATGTGTCCCCCACTGGGGACCTGGCCTACAACCCAGGCATGAGCCCTGACCGGGAATCAAATCTGTGACCCTTTGGTTCCCAGGCTGCGCTCAATCCACTGAGCTACACCAGCCAGGGCTGTACACAGTTTTTAAAGAAGCCCAAGCCCACCATCACTTTTTCTCTATGGTTTTGCTACTACCAGCTCAGGAATGGCACAAAAGTTTCCTTAAATGTGGCCAAGACCACAAAGCTATAAAAACGAGGTAACTTAGATATTAGCAAACAATAAGAAATGATTCACTCATGTGATCAGACTCAGTTATTAAACACTCAAAAGCTGCCTGTGTTAAGTAGATATGTTTCCTGTTTCCCTGACTATATGTTTAAAACATGAGACAAAAGGAAACGTTTCAACTGGTATTTTTTTCTGACTGGGAAGGAAAGAAAGAAGACATTCTCACTTAGACATAGTCCTGCCCTTTACCCAGTTCCGGCAGATTTGCAGATGAGTGAAAATCGGGCTATGCTGAAAGAGGTAACGGGGGATGGGAACGTACCAACGACCTACAGGACAGACTCAAGTGCCTGCAGGGGAGCTGGCTGCATCAACCTTACCACGGTAGGTCCCCGATACATTCTTGGTGAGAGCCTCAGTGTTTACCTGGTGTGGCATCTTGCGTGACCCTCAGGGAGTACAGGGTGGCCGCCAAGCCAGAACCGTAAGAGAACACGCCAATCCTCTTTCCCGCCAGCTGCTGGGGTGAGTACCTGTGCAGGGGAAAATGATCGGGATGGCGAACTGGCCCAACACAACGATGTGCAGGAAGCTACAGGTGGGAACAAAAGTTTGTCCTATAGCCGTGGGGACCTAACCTAAAGCTTTCCCCTTACAGTAAACAGACAAGCATTTTCACCTCTTGGAGAATGTGGGACTTGTGAAAGTTCTCTCATGGTAACATAAGTTACTTTGTCAACCAGGGACTGATGGCTCCAGGAGATGTCAGGAGTAATAAAATCACGAGGCCAGTAGCCAGAAAGGCCAGTGTGACACTAAACAAACGCTCTGGAATAACTGCAGCCTCACCCCATAGACCCTTTCAAGTCAATGGGCAACAGCTGGGAGAGCCCGTTTGGCCTCAGAACTCTAGCATTCCCCACGTGCGGGGAGGGGAGGAGCTGAAACGGTACTTACTGCGCTAGAACAGAGGCGAGGGAGCCGTACACGGATGACGTGTACATATTTCCATTCTGATTTGATACGAGCAAAGATGTCTTTGTTTTCTGATGAAAGAGTTCAGAGCTAGCCTTCATGAATGCCTTTTCTACTTCTCTATCAAAGTAGGTATCTTCTAATTTAACATCCCTGAAAAATTTGTGAAAGACAGTTTTAGTGTTCAAAGACACCATTTGTATAGTATTAGATAGTGTGCGCAGCTAGCATTCTAACCCGCAAGTGGGCATCACTCTGTCTTCATGACTCCATGCTAAAAGCCGAGTAGCAGCATGCTAACTGCTCCGGAAGGCACAGCACTTGTAGACAGATAATCCTTTTTCTCACTTTTTTTAATAATCAAATTAAGACAACTTGATTGTAATGGCTTAATGAACCCACTAAAGCATTGCTGCCACCAAACAAAGTATACTATTTTAAGTCCATGTCTACTTAGTTGCAAGAGTTACTGTATTACAGGAGACAAGTCTTACAGGCAGAGTAGAATTTTATCAGATGGAGAAGGGACACAGGCCAGGAGAAGCAATGAGTTTAGCAGGTGTGGCGTGCTAGGAGCCTTCAAAGTGGACGGCTGTGGAAGGGACAATGGGAGCAGACTTTGACAGTGGCAGGGCGCAGGGCAGGTCTGGGGCAGGCACCGGGGCTGGAGAGGCCAAGAGGGCAGCGAAGGGGCTGTTTAAATGTAGGCACTTGCTGGGAACATGATCGTGGTGACGACGAGGAGCTAACAGGAGGAAGGCAGAAAATCTGAGTAGAAATGCCTAAGGAATTCCTGTAGGTAAAAGCCACCACTTCTCTGAGACTCAGTTTCTTCACTGATGACAAAAAGAGGTCAGACTAGGTTACTCCTAAGAGCCTTTTGACTCTCAAATTTTCAGGACTATAACAAATCCGAGTTTAACATATATAAGAAGTATTCTCATATAGAAGAAAACAAATTCATAACCTCTTACCCAAAGGCTTCCAGGCCACTATAGATACTATTTTTATCTCTATTCTGGTCATTCAGGAAGTCGTGCAGCATCATCCGAGCTAGAGATTTCTGAACTAGCTTACAGTAGGGGGAATGGAAGATCACGAAGCTGAAGTCATTCAAGGTAAAATCTTTATCAATTCCCTCTGAAAAAGAAATCCAAAGACATTAAGAAACTCATATAAGCCACTAACTTTTCAGTTTTTATTTTTGAACAGGGCTAGGATGTTTCTATATCTTTAAATTGCAACCAAAAATATAATGTACAATGGACAATCTCTATGGTTTAAAATGTGTATCAATAAGACAGCAGGAGAAAGGAGAGAGATTACTGGTTTCCAAAGGTAAGAGTCACAAGCTGTTAGTGGATTGTGTAATCAATTTTTTTATTACACAGGGCCAGTATTTTTATTTTTTATCTTAAAAAATTAGAGGGTTTTTCTTTTTAATGTAATAGAGCAGAAAATACACTGCACAATTTGCAGCATGGATAAGAAATTCCATGACATTTTTGTCTGAGTTTAGCACACACAGTTGAGAGTGTATTTTTTATTCTGGGTCCTAATAAAGTTATAAAATCATGCCCTGGCCGGGTGGCTCAGTTGTCTGGAGTGTCATCCCGTCCACTGAAAGGCTGCGGGTTCAATGCGCAGTTGGGGCTCAAACAGGAGGCAACCTATTGATGTTTCTTCCTTTCCCTCCCTTCCTCTCTCGAAAATCAAAAAACATAGCCTCAGGTGACACATGATGTTAAATATAAATAGTATGACATTTTACATACTGCAAGAATGCTTCTTGTCCAGCGCCACTAGGTTTCTGAGTATCAGTCTTTTAATCCTCTCGCAACCTCTGTACAGCAAAGTTGGACTATGGGAAAAGCACAATGTATATGACACTGTGTTTTTTGTGTTGTTTTTTTTAATCCCCTGAGGGGGTGCACTGTTCCCAGAAATACTGCAATACCGGGTTGATGTGCAGAGTGGACAGAGCAAGCTCCTATTCCATCTCCCAGCTCCAAAAATCCATTTAATATAATGTCCGAGGACAGAGGATGTATATTAAACTGATAAGAACAGATACTACTCTTGATCTTAGCCAAAAGGCCAAGAAGCAGCGACACTGTGTTTTAACAGCATCGACTTAAACACTGTCCTCCTCCGCACCTCAGAACTTTTTCAGCTGAGCCAGCTTCCTTCTGGAAAAGATATGTTGTATCTAGAAGAACTAAGCAACTACATCTATTTTTCAATCCAGTCAAAATACATCAACAAACTGTAGGCAGTCTTTCCTTGGCCAGAGAGCAGTGCTTGAATCCTTGAAGCTGTGTGCTGTGTTCTACTGAAGCTCTGACTGTCGGAATGTTGTTTTGCAAATACCATGCCACGATGTGACTGTCTCGACGTCTGTAGTCAAGTCACACTGTGAAGTATGCCACTCTTTTGAGTGGTCAAAGACACTGACTGCTTGCTGTTTAATCAAATGTCCTAAAGCATGTACTTAATATTGTATTATGCTTATTCTAATACTGTGGCCGATTTTTGAAAACTATTAAAAAAATATACCACTGAGGGGGCACGAGGGGAGTGATGAACTTTCTCAGGGTTAAAGATGGAGATAATGATGACATTATAAAAGCAAACATGGGAACTTCCGGTCAAAATGGAGGTTTGAGTAGATAGTCTTGGCCTCCTTGAGCGGCCAGAGAGAATTACAACTAGATCTCAAAACAGATAATACCCAGAACAGTCAGAAAATCGAGCTGGGAAGTCCAACAACCCAAGATTTAAAGGCACCTTCATCCAGATGGGTGGGAGGGGCGGAGTCACAGAGATGGGCGGGGCAGTCCTGAGATGCACTGTGTGGTGCAGAGAGGTGGCAGTGGAACAGGCGATCCCACATTCAAATGTGGTGGCTAAAACTCAGAAGGGACAGCTTGGGAGCGAGTGATCCTAGCCCTGGGCTAGGCTGAACAGCTCAGGGTTCCAGCAATGGGAAGATAAATCCCTGTAATTTCTGGCTGTAAAAACCAGTGGGGGTTGGGGCAGTGGAGGAAAATTCCAGATTTTCAGGAGGCTCGGCCTAAAGGGCCTGTACGGTCTCAGAACATATGCAAGCCCACCCACTCTGGGATTCAACCCCACGGCCACAGCTGGAAGGGCGCCAGAGTCATATGAGAAGTGGGCAGTGACTAGAAACAGAGCAAGCGCCCGGCAAACCTCCAGAAGCCGGCAGCAGCACTGTCCCCTCTCTAAGCCACTCCACCCCAGAGGAAGAAATAAAGGACACTAATGAAGGATGCCCACACAATAGGTTCTCACTGAAGACACCCAGCAATTCGTCCTTCCCAGAGACCAAGCCAAGGAAAAGGTCAAACCCACCTTTCTGCCACCGGGCACGGATCTTTTTGCGGTAGACAGAGTAGCAGTGGTCCAGTGCACTGAAGTAGCACTGGATGGAGAGTTTCCCATCTACTACGGGATATTCCGACAGCATGTCTGGCTTGTAAAAGTCATAAGCATGTTGCATGTGTGTCCCACGAAGTCCTGTTAGAAGCAAAAAGGCAGATGTCCATGGATTTGTGCTTCTCAGTGTCTGCAGGTCAGTAAGCATTATCGAGGGCCTTCTATAACCAGTCACCTCTGGCGATTTGCAGTATAAAAATCACAAGGTGGAGCCAGTACGCAATTGAAAAGAAACCACCACGTCCGTATCTGGCCTAAGAGTCCTTGGATGTATGTGTTTGTGTAAGTTTCGTAATCTAACTAAGAGACAACAATTGCTTTACTGAACTGAAAACAAACTTGCCAGTGACATTGTGGCCATGAGTTAAGTGACTCTTTTCCGTGATTACGCAAACCCACTCTCCTCTGTAGAGTGGGGATGGCACCACTTGCCTCATATAACTATGAACACTAAACATGAAAATCACATGAAGTGCTTAGCAGGCAGTGCCTGCACCGAATGAACATACAGTCCGCACTAGCTTCTATTTTCAAATTCCTCAACATATTGTGCTAAAACAAAACAAAACAAAACAAACAAAACCCAACTTTCCCAAACACTCACCTCGGTCAAAAATTAAAGGCGCATTGGGCCCGATGAGCAGAGCAACGGCCCCGACCCCGCCTGTAGGTCTAGCGTTCCCTGTGGCATACACAGCAATATCCCCCGCAACCACCAGGGCGTACCGTCCTGAAAAACAGTGTCCATACAAAAGAAGGTGATCCACACTATAAATGCTGTACATGGAGACAGAAGAGTTACGTTTTCCCCAGAATACGCTTTCCAACTTTCGTAAAGAAAGAAAATGTCTGACTAAATTTTGATAATTACCATACACGATAAAGACAACCAATTCATAACTCAGGAAAGTTGAGAGTCATAGCTATCCCTCCTGCGTACATTCCAACAAGCCCAAGTGCTGACGTTTGCACACAGCAATGACTCAAGGTAGCCTGGGCCCATCTGCCTCCCAGGAGCGTTTCTGGGGAGCAGAGACATACCATCCCACGAGCTGGACTCGATCCAGTTCACAGCGTTGAAGACGGCGGCCGTGCCGCCGTAGCAGGCGTTCATGGTGTCCACTCCCTCTATGTCCGTGTTCCCAGACTCCTCGAAGAGCTGCATCAGGTTGCTCTTCACGGACTTGGACTTGTCGATGATCGTCTCTGTTCCCACTTCTAGCCGCCCAATGCAGTCATAAGAAAGGTTGTTTCTCTCCATCAGATTCTGAACCACAGTCATGCAGAGAGAGTTGATATCTTCTCTATCTGTACAGAAGCCCATCCTGGCCTGGCCCAAGCCAACAGTATACTTTCCAGCATCTACACCATCGTATTTTTCCAACTCTGCTTGATCAACATATTGAGAAGGAAAATAGATCTCCAGCGCAACAATTCCCACATCTTTTGGCCAACAGGCTTCTGCATTCAGAGGAAGCGACCCAGGCATGGTGAAAGAGCTTTAGAAAGAAAAACAGAAAAATACTGTTTTGTTATCAATTGTCAAGTTCAAACTTGATAAATTGACATTAAGAGTTCAACTATCACCTAAAATATTAGTTTACTTCCTAAGTTTAGTATGTTTTCTCAGGGCAGTCAAATCTAAGTTTTTGTGGCAAGTAGCAACTATAGCGAGAATTAAATACTACTATTTAAAATGATCATCCTTCAGAAAGGCTTGCACTTTATTTAAAACTAGATAGGTTTATAGATTTACAATACTATTATTAGAAATAAAAAAAGCTCAAACAAGAATCTTACATGTTGTAAAGAACTGTAAGATGAAATACAATGGCAGTTTAGTAATACAACCCACGAATCAGAAGTACCTGATGTATTTCTGGCCACCCGAAGTTTAAATTAAGTCAGTCAGCCCTTCGTTACAGATACATTGGTTATTCACAGCTACTGACTTTACAAATTGTTAGATCAAACAATACTGCATTCTCTATTAATCTAAACAATTCCAGCAAGTACAAAAGCCACACTGCAGAAGTCTACCAATCTATACAAGCCAATCTGCACACAGCCTTATACCTGGTCCTATCCTTCCAAAGAAACCCCCTTTCCAGAAACCCAAATGATTATAATTTTGTGCAAAGACAAGTTCCAGAACCTATCACAGGGTCAAATGTCAATATTCTATACTTCCTACAGCTAGTGTATAGGTAATAAATGATCATAAAACCACAAGGTATCACTTTGCTTCTAAATTAGGGAAAAAATCTGATTAAATTTGAAAATTGGTAGTTCACACATTATTAGTATGGCAACTAATTCTGAGATAACGACTCTTAAAACCACCCCTTCTCTTTTTAAAAGGGCACCAAAAGTCTGGACACACTGTCAATACTTACAGTTATTAAGATACACTTATTAACAGCAAAAAAAAAAAAAGGTTCTGGCCACTTAAGACCATTGCTCGGTGCATATAGGCAAGCCACATAAACTATCAGAGCCTCAATTTCTTCAGAGGTTGTATTAACTAGGAAAACAGAAACTATTCTATATACTTCAGGAGGGACTTTAACACAGGGAAATGGTTCCAAGGCTGTAGGCCAAGGTGCAGGAGCAAAGAGCAAAGAGGTGGTGGTTATTGAGATCCCGTGAGCCTGTTCCTCCAGAGCTGCCGGAGCCACCAGCACCAGCCCTTTTGCTGCCAAGTTAGACCCAGAGACCCAGGCCAGGCTGCTGCCGCCCACGAGGACACAGGGCCCTCCTTTTTCCTCGTGATCTCACTGGAGCGCTGCGACCAGGGGTATCCCAGAGCCCAACTGGCACAGGGGGCAGAGAAATATAGGTGTCAGGCTTTGAGGAGTGGCACAGCCCTTATTTTTAGAGAGAAAATTCTTTCCATACCTGGCCTCTGCAACTCAATTTCCTTTTTGGGTTTCCCATCACAGGATGCTTTGCTTCAGTGGCAGGTTCACAGTTCCTCCAAGACAAAGGTCCTGGCTTACGAGAGTTACCTGGGTCAGACTGCCTCACTAACTTTCCACAGCATTTACCAACTCACCACGAGTCTGACCCCTGAAAATGGAGAGTCGGCTCCTGTATCCGTGTCACTTGTCCTCTGCCACCCTACGAACTCGGGAGCAGCATTAGGTGAAATGAAATTACAGACTACTGCCACGGTGAGCTAGCTGTTGAAGTCTTGAGAGAACATCAAAAGTAGAAAGGATGTCCTTAAATCATGATATCTACCCTCAGCCCATATGTCATTAAATTGTGTGTGCATTAAAACCTAAAAAATAATCACCTTAAGTATAATCAAATAATCTAAGTGAAAGGCTTTAAGGGGTACCTGTTGAATCTTCCTTCTAAATATTACTTATTCATATTTTGTTTCATCCAACCAATGATAACACATTCCATGCCAAAGATCAGGGTAAGTTTCAGAGCGGAGGGCCCTCGCCCTCTCAAACAGTCCCTGCCTGGTGGGAGGGTGAGACACGACATCAGCCGCATTATGGTTGGAGAATTACGAGCCCGCCTGGTGGTGGGGGCAGCGGGAAGAAAGGCTGCCGGTTTCTGCTGCAGACTCGAGTCTCAGGAATGAGGAGGCGCGATGGGTCAAGCGCTGCAGAAGCCAAGGGTGCTGGGAGAGCTTTGACAAGGTGGACAGCACACACAAAGGCACCCTCCAAAGGACCGTAAAATGTGTCACTAATCTGTCGACGTGAAGTGTGAGGCCCAGGGAGTAGATCAGAGAGTTGACAGCTGGACCTGGTGACTGACCAGGTCACAAAGGCTCTGGCCTGCTGACATGGGGCGGGGGGGGGGGGGCATCAGCGTTACCTCGGGGACATTGAGAAGCCATCAGAGAACTGAAAGCGGGAATAACATGGTCGTATTTAGTGTTCAGATGAGTGTTTGTCCAATTCTAGAATCAAGTCCGTGGATGACAAACAACACATTTTTCAATTTAAAAATCAGAAAATATCAGATCGTATAGCACATGGTAAATGCAAGAATTTTTTTTTCATGAAATTTCTGTTTCAATTATGCACACACATATAAAGTGTGCTTCTTACTGAGGGTCACTGTCTTTACAGACACTGGTGCTGTGCAGAAAACGGACTTGAGCTGGGAAGCTGAGGCAGCAGCCCAGATAAGACACAGGTCATGAACTAGAGCATGACCTACAGAGCCTACGGGGTGAAGAAAAAACAGCTTCCAAAAATATGGAAGAAGCAAAAAACTGGCAAAATTGTGACTGACCAGACGTCAGGAAAAGAAACGATCAGGATGACTCCCAGGCAGGTAGCCTGTCCTGTTCTGACCCGAGAGGCTCACTGTTGGATACTCTAAGTGAACAGAGAGAGAGAGAGAGAGAGAGAGAAGCAAGTCTCCACATTGTTTTGCCTTTCTCCTCGCCCACGCAAACATGTTAATTTATAATCTAAAACTTTGTTACACTGAAGTTGAAATGAGGATATAAAGGGCTACGTGACATGTCACTAGGCAGATTCTAAGTTTAGAGAAAAATAAAAATAAGATTAAATCTTCTGCACAGTCCACAGAAAAGAGCTCTACAACTAGTGTTTAAAAAAAAATTCGATCCTGGGTTTCAGCACCAAATCAATCAATGACCCATCCACATAGTTAGGAGAGGAGCTCCTCCTATTGGCTACCTTCTAAGTCACCAGGGCAGAGGCAGGAGGATTAGCTTCCCGGCCTGTCCCACCACAAGGTTCCCCTTCCGATTCTTATTCTTTTCAACTTTCCAGTCTGTGCTAAACACGCTGGAGACAGTGTATCTCCCCTGCCCCGCCCAGTGGCTTGCAGTGCTTTTGGAAATAAAATGGACAGGGATGTATCACCTTCTGAAGGTATAAACAACTTTGTAACAAGCCATGAATGTCACGCTTTAGTTCCAGAATTAATCTGTATGTACCTTATTTATGGTAATTGACTAGCTCTGATTAATTCTTGTATTATGGCACTTACAAAATAAGCTGTATTCTTAAACTGTTTCATTTGGAAAACAAATGTAACTAAACTAAAATAACCCACACACATCAGGTTGAATCATGACTCCGATCTTGGTATGAAAAACATTTTTTTTTACATTGTTTAACTCAGTCAATATTGCTCATTCTCTTGGCTAAGTTTTCATGATACTCTTGGTAAGAAGCCATCTAATGTGAAATATTTAGATTTTGATTAAAATTAAGGAAGAGTAAGATTAAGAAGGAAAGAGGAAAAATACAGGGAAGTAATTAGCTTCCATGACATTTAAAACCACACAAAGTTTGATATGTTTCTGGTCTGTAATGTTTAAGTTTAACTTTCCTATCAAGTGTATGTTCTTATGTTGTCTTCTCAAATCTTCTCTGAAGTAGGCCAGTTACAAATTAGAAAAAGAAAGGGAAAAAAAGCCTAACTAAAGCTCTGAGATGTTCACATTATGGTATCTACCCTTAACCCCCAAGTCATTGAATTATGTGTATATTAAAACCTAAAAAACAAGCACCCTAAGTATAATCACATAATCTCAGAAAATGGCGTATTTCAGATTAATTCACTATTCTGTATCTATCACAAAAAATTTAAATAGAATACAGTTTTAAAATCTGATAGTTTAAAAAATTATCTGCATATCTTTTTAACCTTTTGCTGATAAAAAGGTACTTCGTTATTTCTCAGAGCATTGTACTCATAATAATAAAGAAAAAGAGCCTAAGGAGGATAATGGGGATTCTGTTTTTATAATAAAACATGTAAATTTCTTTAAAGAGGACGCTAAAGGTACACTTTTACCACAATTCTGCAAACCTTTCAAAGTTATCTTCCAACAACAACAGACCAACAAGAGACTCAAGTCTTTTCTAAAGTGAAGGCTCACCCCTTCCGTGGACGAAAGGAGCTCCAGGCCACAGGAGGGACCAATATGACCCACTGAGAACTTAAAATCTGTGCACAAAGGGAACTAGGATGGACATGGAGATAAGCCTGGAACGCAGCCCCCACTAGCCCTGCGGCTGGGGAGGCAGGGACTTCAGCATTCACCCTGGGTGGGGACTGATACCAGCTTCCTCAGTGAGTTCTCTGCCTGCACCCTCACCTGCACTCGGCTAATATTTTCAAAACGCACACCTGACTATTGTCAAGATGCTACTGGAAACTTTGTCAGGTTTCTGTTAATTAGGGTCTACCTCTCTGCATGAGACAAAAAGCTTCCAGAGACCAGGAACTGTGTCTTGTTCGTCCCTGTGTCCCAGTACCTACCCCAGCATTTGGCTTATGGCAGAAGCTGAATGTTGAATAAATGAATTTCTACTAGCCTTCTGAAGTCAGTAATAATCGTGGGAAATTGCAATACTGAAGCACACACACACACAAAATCAGAATTGTGAGTAATAAGATTACTGCTTCAAACACACTGACAATCATTGTTCAACTCACATGAAGGTGAAACTCCACCCACAGCCCAGCTACGCACCATTTCTGCATGTAATCTTCAAAGCGCCATGGGCACCAATGCTTACTGGTGCTTTTCCCAATCACACCATGCGCATGGTTATAGTTTATTATCTTGTGAGTGAGCACTAACTTGCCAAATCAGCGCTAGGTTTTAGCCATTCGTCAACTAAACACAAATCAGATGGGCTCCCAAAGCACGAGTGCGTCACTCATATTTAAGGCTGGATGTAACCCCACACAGAGTCTGCAGACGTGTGGTACGTGGCTATTTGCCCCCCGGGTGGGGGGGGAGTGAAACTCCCCCTCCCATTCAGAGGAACAGCCCTTACCTGTGTGAGGGACAATGAACTTCAGTCTCCAGGTCTGTCAGTGTTCCCTCCTTCAGGCACTAGAAATGGCAAATGAAAACTTTGTTTAAAGTCATCAACAAATAATGGCTTCAATTCAAAGTGAGTTAAAATAAACATATCCTGGTCCAATCACATTATGTACTACAGAATTTGACTTTGAGTAGAAAAAACAGTCCTTAAAGCTCATAAATGAAACTTTTCCCCTTTATTTTATTACCAGGCTCGAACCTCCCCCTAGGGATGAGGGAGGTTCGATCCTGGTAATGATCCAACTGACATAAGTCCATGTTCAGGCTTTCAAGCAAGTACGATGCTGGGAGAGCTGTAGTCTTTATACTAAATTTGGGTTTTCAAGAATTAGGAGAGAGGACCCTAGCTGGTGTGACTCAGTGGATTGAATGCTGACCTGCAAACCAAAGAGTCACCAGTTCAATTCCTAGTCAGGGCACGTGCCTGGATTTCAGCAGTAATCTTATTACTCCCCAGTGGGGGCACGAGACAGGCAACCACACACTGATACACCTCTCCCTCTCTTTCTCCTTCCCTTCCCCTGTCAAATAAATATATAAAACTCCTTTAAAAAAAGAGAGAAAGGAATATAGGTAAGTTGTACTGGGCTAGCAAATTTCCAGATTAAGAGACTTTATACTTTCAAGAGCTTGCTGAGCATTTAGGAGTTTGTGGCTTTAATAATTTGTGCCTCATTGAGCCTCAATTCCCCCATCTGTAAAATGGAGCTAATCCCTGCCTTCCCCAGCTCACTGTGAGGGATTGTTGAGAAGACAAAATATGTGAATAATGCTTTGTAACAGAAAGGAGCAATACAAAATTTTCTGTATTGAGACAGAGAAACGTCAATTTGTTGTTCCACTTATTTATGCATTCATCAGCTGATTCTTGTTTATGTGCCATGATCAGGATAGAACTCACAACCTTGGCGTTATCTGGAAAACACTTTTTTTTAAAGGCCCCTAGGCCCCTCCTCTGTCTCCCCCTTAGCCCTGACATGTTGGGACTATGTCAGTAACAGTAATATTTCTTCTTGAAGCCATGGAAGTATACACATCTGACACTATTTGTGCCAAGGAAGTTTCCCCGAACTGCCTGTTCACCCTCTTTCACTATTGATTATTTTAACTGAGGAAGGAGTGCATTTGAGATTTTGCTCCCCGGCATTATGTCATCAGTTTGGTTCAAATAAACTCTTATAAAAATTCAAAAAATAATAGATAAATAAATTGGGCAGGAAGGTTGGGGGAGAGGGAAGAGAGGAGGGGAGGGGGAAGAGAGGAGGTGGAGGGGGCCAAAGAGGGGGGCTGTGGGGAGAGCAGGCACTGGGGCAGACAGATGAGGGAGATGGAGTCCCAGAGGGCGGCTGTGCTGCTCAGGCTGCCCCGGAAGGGGCCTGGAGAACAAGTGCAGGCAGCAATGCCACTCTGGGGGGGGGGGCCCACTGGAAAGGGATTAGGCTCCCCATCTTCTTCTGCTCTGGCTAGAGGGGCTCTCTACTCTGGCTACAACATCAAGTCTCCAGCAGGCCAGTTTATTTCCTGCTAAGGGTGTTCTCTGAGCACGTGCCAGAGTGGAGCAGGGCTGGTCAGGACGAAGTTAAAGAATCACAAGCCACTGGGCAGGTTGCTACAGGGCAAGTTCGGAGATTCCTGAGAGGCAATCAATTGAGTTTGGCAAAGGTGAAAACTGAAGAACGCAGGCACTGCCCAGGGCCAGCCAGGTTCCTGCCCTGCCGCTCTCTGCCGGGGCCCAGTCAGTGCCCTAGGCCCCTCCTCTGTCTCCCCCTTAGCCTGGACTCAAGCAGGTAGGCAGAGAAGTTCATCCGGTACACATCTTGGTACAAGGGAAACTATAGGCAGTTTTACCTGGTGATCTTTTCCACTATTACAGGAGAGAAATCCAGCTGCCTTTCCACCTTAGGAGTAAGGAGGCAAAACCACTGTTAAGAAAGCCTTGCTGACACTGTACACGCTGCTGGTCTAGTTTTCCAAGCACAAAATAGGGATTTCCCTGCCTATGCCCCTCCCCTCCTTGCACCTCATCCCCCCAGTTACTGCTCTACTTATCAGAGATTCTATTCCAAGATCCTCTAGTAAACTACCTCTTCCAGGAAGATCTCCTTGTTTTCTAACCAGGGCCCTGTACTCCTATAGCAGGCTGGTCACCCACACCTAAGTCTTCACATTCTGCTCTGAAAAGAAAACTACCAGGGATCTCATCCACGCAGACTACTGTTGGGGGAGGGACTGTATTTTGATTCTCTTGAAAGCCCTCTGAGACCTTGGAGTAAAGGCACTCAACTGCCATTTTTTTTAAGTGGCTGAATGTGGAGTTACAACAACTAGGGGACAAATGTTGTAGATGCAAGTACTTGCAGCAGCGCTTACTAGTGCGTTCTTTTTGCTGTCATTTTTAAGATGGGCTGTAGCACCCGTGTCCAGAAAATTGTCTTTCTACTGTTGTTGTTCAAGCAAATGATGGGTTTCAACTGCTCCCAGATCCTAACCTGAAAAATGTGAGGAGTTGAAACAGAATCAGAAGAGACCATCTGTGGTTCTTACAATCATTTCCATATGCACATCCCCGCAACCACAAACCCTACAAAAATGAAGACTGGGAGTCTGAGAGATTAGCTTAGCCCTACTGCTCTAACGATACTCAGTCGGTAGACAGCAAGTGAGCGTTGTCCTGTGCCAAGCATTAGGATGAATAGATTATTGACAACTGAGTCCTACCATGCTTCCATCAGGCTGGGTAATATGTTTCCCAACTTTTTTAACCTATAAAGAAACAAAAATACCACATCCTACTGTTCTTTTTGTAACCCAACCTAAAATTATAAGACTTTATATTCATATCTAAATGAAATTAAATAGAGATTCTGATATATAGCCCAACAAGCTCCTCCATCCACAACCAACTCTATCTCCCCACATTCTGTTCCACTGGATTATGATTTTAAATCATTCTAGGCTACCCAGGAAACACATTATATCAATATCAGGGTTTTGCATTTCCTGGGAGAAAAGCTTCCTAAGGTTCTTGATAAAAAATTCTCAAAATCAATCCCAGTTAAGAGAAACAGGATGTGAAAGCATTTTGGAGGAATATTTAAGTGAACAAGATCAAAAACAAAATCCAGAATTAGCCTAACAGATGGCATGCCCTTCTATAGCTTCAAATGTAACATCTGTAGAACTCTCCCCATTGGAAGCACCTTCTGAGAACTGGAATTATGGACTAAAGCAGAATCAAACTGAACTAGAATTGTAAACTGGGCAAACTTGCAAACTTGAAAGAGAAACCTACAAAGGATAGACACAAAGAAAAGCATGTCTTACTTCCCTCCCATAAGATGCGCTATTCCCGCTCTTCTGATCCAAACAAAAATACGTGAAATTAAAAAAAAAAAGTTTTGATCAAAGAAAGAACACAAACTTCTTAGATGTCTCAAGCTTCAAGGAAACGTTTGGCACAGACATTTGATTAAGGACTTTCTAACACAATTTGTGCAATAAAAGTCCACACTCTATCTCAGAAGGAAAAATCTGTCAACTATATGAGCACTTCCATTTGTCATAATTTGGCCATTTTTCTTGTCATCCTTTTTCCTGATTCCTCCCTGAAACAGCAAATGTTACTCAGTAGCAGCAGAACACACCGCCCTGCTGCAGCAACTTGGCGAGAGCATCGGGAGGGAAGCGCTGCGGCAGAGGCGAGTATCCAAAGGAGCCCGTGAAGCCCTAAGACCAAGGCCACAGGGCAAGCACGACAAGGAGGGGCAACCTCACGTTACCTGTGGTCCAATCCCTCCTCTACCGTGGCTCTGAAATGTCCTTGTGTGTGAAGGCTCGCGGGTGCCTGCTCACTAAACCATCCTAGCAGGTCAGGCTAGTCCTGGAGCTGTTAGCAGGAGGGAGGTACAGGATTTCGGAACACCGCGAAACCTTTTTCTTTTTAACAGGCATAAAGAATATGGAGGCGGGCAGGTGGGGTAGGCAGGAATCTGTGGTATCTGAGGCAAGCACAGTCAGAGCAGTCAGGAGCACGAGTACTCGGCCAGGCTAGGTCGCGGGTGTGATGCTTCCTCGCACCTGCACCAGGAAGTGGGGCTGCCCACCCTCCTTCCTCCCTTCCCCCGCCCGGGTCTGGGGCGCCAGGAGACACACCCCCGGCCACCTACCACCTGAGCGTGATCTTCCCCATCCTTCGGCGTCCACCTTCATCTACCCCAGGCTCCGGACGCCCTGGCGGCCCAGCTCCCTTCTCGCCCCTCCTGATGCCCACCCCCCGCCCCACCCCCTCGGTGGTCACGACCACTGCCCTGGCACAGCCAGCTCCCGGCTGGAACACTGGAACCGTAACCTTCAACGCCCTTTCGCCTTCTCCCCTCCGCAGCTCGCCAGCCCGCACCCGGGTCCCGGACTCTCCTCCCCCCAGGTTCCGTGCGGGGGAGCCCCGCACGGACCAGACTCTCGGCGGGCCGCCCCCGGGGCCAGGTACCCCTCTGTCCTGAGCCAGACCGATCCCGAGCTCCTTCAGGCCTAGTCAAGGGCACCGCCTCCACCCGACCCTCAGCCCGCCCGCGGCCCCTCAGCAGCCCAGCGCCGGTCCCCCTCGCGGGCCACTCACCCGAAGGTGTCCAGGTGGCGGTACAGGAAGAGAAGAGAGCCACGAAAGCGCAGGGTGCGGTGCCGGCCCTCGCCACCAGCTTTATAGCCTTCCAGCCTCCCGACTCCGGCACCGCCGGGAGGCGGTGGAAGGCGGGGCTGGGGCTCGAGCAGCCAATCGTGGCCGGCAGGCTAGGCTGGCAGTGCCCGCCCCGCAGCCCGCCGTCTTCCAATCAGAAGGAAGACGGAGGCGGGAGCTCGCTAAATTTTTCCCTCGTGGATGGAAGGGCGGGAGGAGGGGCGGTGTCGATGTCTGAGGACAGAGGAAGTGGGGTGAGAGAGTGACGTGAAGTGGCCCGAGAACCGGCCTGCCAATGACAGAGCGGCACGAGGCGGCGACAACCAACGGGAGCGGACTGAGAGGTTCTCCGACCAATTGGAGCCGAGCGAGGGGAGACGGTGGCCAATGGGGCCGGCGCGTCCCACCACTGGGGAGAGATGGCTAAGTGTGCCTGACAGGTTGGTCCTCACTGAGAGTTTGTCAGGTTGCCTAGCAACCAGAGCTCGGCTTCTCCTGTAAGATTTGTGAAGTACTTGTTTTACATTCAATCTTAACGTGTTCTAGTTTCCAGACCTGGAAACTACACTAGTACAAGCTGTAGCAGAACACGCCACCCAGAGTGTGTAAAACTGTAAATATTCCAAATATGCGATTTGTAAATACCCAAATGGTCACCTCTATTCAAAGCCACTGTGACTTTTTAACAGACTGCTAGTCGGACAGCCCTTCCTAACTAAACCCAAGACAAGATAGTTTGGGGTGAGACACCAGCAAGGACAGAAAGGGGGCTTGACCCTGATTCTGGGATCTTTGCTAGCCCATGCACTCCGAGAAAGGGGCTCCGCGGGGCTTAGTCCCCACTGCGTCTTCTGAGCTTCAGATGTCGTAGGTGCCAGATCAAGGGCCATTGAAGAAAGGAAGACACCCCATGATTCTCAGTGTAGAGAATCCCCAGAATAGGGAGTGCCCCCAGAAAGCAGAGAGGAGCCATTCAAGCCGGAGGAAATCACTGGAATGCTATTTGGGAGAATCCAAAGGAGGGCAATTAGGGCCTTATGTTAGATTCTGTCTCCTCTCTTCCTCAGATAGGGAAACCCCAACACTTAGCTTTGTTGGGGGGCCAAGGGAGATTCAGAGTTGTTCGTATCTCTCACCCTCTGAGTTTGGAAGCTGCTGATAAAATGGTCATGATGATTCTGTGCATCATGTAACTGCTGTTATGAGAAAATGTATTATCCACCATAGATACTGATCTAGTAGGAGACATTCTGTGCAGCAAAACAGCAACATACATTGGTTATGGAACAAGAGGTGGCATTAAGTTTTCCAGGGGAGAGGAGCACTCCTTAACCGTTTTCTCTCCACAGTGCTGCCCTTGACATTCATTCTGTTCCAGAATCAATGCCATTTCATATTTTCTGAGAGTAACTAGGTGATAAAGGGACAGACACAGCCCAAGTGTGATCAATTGCAATTTTGAGAGAGGGATTAAACATTCTTGGCCTCTTAGAAACCATTGAGAAGCAGTTAAGGACTAACATAAGAAAGAAGACACAGCTTTGTCCTTAAGAAAGGGAGGACAAATAGTTCCAACCCCAGGAGTACACAATGGGAAATGATTAGCCAGATAGTCATGAGGATGATCATTTTGTACAACAGGAAATTTCCACCAGGCACAGACTATCTTTTTGATCAAATCCATCTTCATTTAAAGTGAGCATGACTGTTCATCGTTGGGAACCCAAGCAATGGATAGCAAAATGGGTTTAGTAATTAAATACAGAACGGCTCAACTGAATTTTAAAAAGCAAGCCTCTGAGGTTCTGTAAAATATAGGAGATAATACCAGGCTCCACAAGTATCGGGTATGGCCATGCAATTGAGGACAAAGTATACATACTCCTCCTATATTTACTCTGCAGGGGTTTTTTGAGCTATAATTTGACACATGCAGAGTAAAGTCAGTGTCCTACTTGAATGTGCATTGTTAAGATATGGTAAGATATGTTTTATTACATTGTTTCAAAATGTCCTGCCAAGTAGTATTGGCCAAACCTGGCTGTTCATCAGTTTATTATTCTGCACTACTTTGAAAGGAGCAAAAGTTTCTCAAGAGTCAGGCAGATGTAACGATACCATTTAGTATTATAAATTCGTCCAGTGAATAAATATTTACTTTATACCTGCCCTGTGGCAGGGATTGAGCTAGACCTGTTCTGGCAAACACTAGCTACATGTGTCTCTTGAGTATCTGAAAGGTGGCTGGTCCAAAGTGAGATGTGCTATATGTGTAAAATAATACGCTAAATTTTAAAGACCTAGTGCAAAACAAAAGGGAAACATCTCATTAATACTTTTTATGTTGATTATATGTAAGGATGATGTTTTTGTTATATTGGGTTAAATAAAAAATAATTATTAAAATTAATCTTACCTGTTTCTTTTTAGTGTTAAAGGTAGCTGCTAGAAAAATGTAAAACTGCAGAGGCAGCTTCCACTTGTGCTGGACAATTGGAAGACCAGAGTGTTCTTTCAAGAGTTCATGGTCTAAAGAGTGGAGGAGAGAAAAACAAAGAGCAAAGAACTGGGTTTCCAGCCTGTAACTCACTAGTTAAAGAGTAGGAGAGGGTGGGGTGGGAGGAACTTCCAAATTTGCCAACAGAGATATTTCCATCTCTTCAGATTTAAACAGCTGGATTTGCCTGAATATTCCATCAATTCAAAGTCGAATTTCCTGTCAGGACCATCTCTCCACAAGCCTTCCACTAGGCAAGACGGCATCGGGTTTCATGGAACTTACTGGGTTGTTGTCACATGGGAGGAGGGGTCAGCTCTACTTGTGGGTTCTGGTACTGGCCTCCATGGCTGACCAGGCCCCAGCCTTGGCTGTCCCCAGGGCCGTTGAGACCTAAGGCATCACATTAGGCTCACCCAGCCTATTTGCAGCAAAACGCTGCGGCCCTGCCACCCAGCAGGGCTGGCTATCTTCTGCCCCCTGCTCCACAGGAGTTTCTGTAATCCCTCCACAGGATTTGGGAATGGGGGTGGGGGTGGCAGGGTGACCTGTCCCTACCTGAGTGCGCAGCGACATGTGTCCTACTCTCCGGCCACATTCCAAAGTGGTCTTGTGGGTCCCAGTGAGATATTCCCCTCTCTCCAGGATGTGGCCACCTCAAAAGTTCTGAATAGAAACTTGATCAGAAACCCTACTGATCTAACGCCCCCACCCCAGCAGTCCAGTGTGTTTTCCCACACTGCTCCGCTCTGCAGTTTGACCTCTGGCCCTTCCTCTCACCCATCTCTCACTCCTGAAAAGGTCACTACTGTGGGAGGATGCAAGAATGGCAGTTTTTATTAAAATTTTTTTTCCTTACTCGTGGACATGCTTAGTGATTTTAGAGAGGGGAAGGAAAAGGAAAAGAGAAGGAGAGAAACATCATTCGGTTGCTTTCATAGGCGCCCCAAAGGGTGACCTAAACCGCAACATAGGCATGTGCCCTGACTGGGAATAGAACCCATGACCTTTCGGTTTGTAGGATGATGCCCAACCAACTAAACCACACTGGCCAGGGTGAAAGGCAGTTTTTAAATAACACAATTGGTAGTTTTAATACAGTTCAAGTGCTACACAAAGAAACATACCCAAAGGATAATGCAAGTTCAAAGGAATATGTAATCCATCCTGGGGTCAAAGAAGGCTTTTCAGAGCATGTGATATTCATCCCTGTGTCACATTCTGAAATCCGGATTGAGTACTGCGGGGTACCAGGCACTGTCCTAGGCTCAGAGGTTCTGGGTTGTGCACAAGACAAACGCGGTTTCTGACCCAGTCAAGCTTGGTGGGAGAAAACTCAGCACTATGTAAAAAAACTGGTAAGTTGAGCTATCTTCAGACAGTGACAATGCAGTAAAGAAAATAATGCAGAGCAATGAGACAGCAAACACTATGGGGTGGATAAGTGCCTGAGGTGGTTAGGAGAGGTCTTTCTGAAATGGTGTCACTTGAGGATAAGAAGGGGCCAATCTACGGAACTCTGGGAGCCCAGTGTTCCATAGCTGGGCTCCCAGAGACAAGCGGGGGTGGGGGGAGTGAGGGGGGGCGGGGGCAGCAGGAGCCAAGGTGTGCCTGTTTGAAGAACCGGAAACAAAAGGCCCAGGTGCCTGAGCTGAGTTTTGAAGGACTACCCAGAGTTCTCTGGGTCGAGGACCAGGGGGTGTGAAGAAGAGGAGGGGGAGGGGGAGTCATTTCAGGGACAGGGATACTTCCAGTGTGCAATGCAGGGACTGTGTCTCTAATCACAGGCGAAGTCAAAGTCATGATCAGTGACTGTGAACTCTCTTTTGGGCCGGGGTTTTCAGGTAAAAGGAGTAGGAATGGAGCCAGGTGCCATATTCTCTCTTCACGGGGAGGGAAAGGAAGAGTTCAAGGAAATACCCTTCCCACACTGTGCTCCTGAGAGTAATCCATTACTCACTTGGCGACATCTGTAGTGAGAGTTTGCTGAGTATTTATTCTTTTCCAGATTCTAATATGTGTTCTTTCTTTACTTTATCCCTTCAGTCAACCCCACTATACAAACTCCAAATTACAAATGAGGACATGCAGGCCCAGAGAGGTTGGGTGGCTTGTTCCAAACTACTCAGCCTCAAAGTAGCAAAGCTGGAGCTCACACCCAGGTCTTCTGGTGTCAGAGCCCCCGTTCCTTCCACTGTTCCGAAGACAAAATGACAGCTGTGCTCAGAAATGGGGGGGGAGAGGCAAGGTGGGTAATAACGGGCCAGCCCTGACTACCTTGCGGAATCTCACCTTAGAACAGCTTTGGCGCTTGGCTCGTGGGCTCCAGACTTCTTTTCGGTTCGGTTTGGTTTTGAATATTTTATTGTTTATGCAGTTATGATTGTCCATGCCTGTGGGTCATGCATCTTTATATAAATACATATAAAATATATTTACAAATATAAATGTTCATGTTTATAAATATATTCATAAACATATGTGTTTATATTTTTATAAATAAATTCCCCAAACAGAACTTATTTATTAAAAATTGTGCATTTCCTCTTACACATGTAAACTTCAGTCACC